TATATATATATATATTTATATTTATATATGTGTGTATATATATATATACCTCGCGCCGCTCTTGCACGCCCGCCCGCTTCTGGCCCACCTTAATTAATTCTCTTAAACCTCCAAAAACACACCTCGTTCAACTTAGCGCTATACGAAATGATCTCGTTACGATACGATAATATATATAATATATATATAATATATATATTATATTCTACATTACATTACTATGTTCGAAAAATAATATTACAATATATAATGTATGTGTGTGTGTGTGTATGTGTGTATATGTTATTATGTGTATTATATCAATATTTTTTTTGTGTTTCTTTCTTCTTATTCCTCCTCTCCTTTACGAGTTTGCCACCACATTCTCACTTTATCGCTTTTTTTTCCTTATTATACGCGCGATAATACCTAAAATTTACAATTAGTTATACACGACGATCTCGACGCTGCTGAGAGGAGGTCGGTGACGGTGCGTGGGTCAATCTGCGTTGCTGGATTCGTTATAAAAAATTATGTGTCGTAATGAGTAGAAATGACTCTGGCTATATAAAATTGTCGTGTAATACTAAACAATGTTAAGCTAGTAGGTCGATAATACCCTTTCAAAGAAACATTTTGTTCTTTTCTCCACGGTTCCACACTCGACAAATGCCGATAAAATGAAGGTGTCTTCTTAAAAGCGATGTAATTATACGACTTAAAGTAAGATTTTCAGTTCCTTCAGTCCAATATGTGCGTGCGAGGTCTTGGTGTTGAAAAAATAGAAAAAGGAGAATACTCTGCCAAGAAATCTTTAAATACTTATATTAGATAGGCATACTTATTTCTCTTTTAGAGAAATTTTACTCACAGATCTCTGTTTTTTCAACTATAAAACATCATAACAATAAAGATCGATTCGTGTGTATATATCGCTATTAAAAAAATCGCCTTCAAGTCGCATCTCACACACCATCAACCATTCCTAAATATTCTTTTCAAATTGCGGAGATTACAAAAACTGACTTTGAAAAAAGCAGCCTCCTGCTTATAATCTACCACGGAATGCCCTATGAGATTTATTCTCAGCGTTATACGCGGAATCAGATTGCTCTCAGCAGCGCGCGCAATTATACTACCAAATCCTTTCAATATGTGTGTATATGTGTGTATGTATGTGTGTGATGTAAAACCGCTAGGCGCTTCTCTTCTCTCTTTCTCTCTCTGCATCTCTTTCTTCTTTTTTTTTTTTTTTAATTTGAATAACAACCATTTTTTAATTTGTTTCACTAAATATATCACAAACTGCCGGCGGCTAGTGCAGCCCTCGCTATTATCGCTAAACGCGGCGATCGCCGTTCTATAAACACTTTTAAGCCTTCCTGCTCGTGCGCTGATACCGATATCGCAAACGAAGCGTTTAGCGTGAACGCGCGAGCTACCACCGGAAAAATATAACGTTAAGGGATTACATGTTAATAGTTACATCACTGTCGGAAGACGCAGTGATCCGAAGGATCGTCAGGACACTATCCTCGCGTCTACGTATCCAGAAAATCCTTCGTCCTCGTCCCCAACGTACGGTTAGTTTAAGTGTCGAACTAGTAATTTTCCGTATATTATGCTGCCACAGAAGATTCTCTTTATATATATATTCTTAAAGTGTAAATATCTTTATAAATTCATGACCTTAATTATTTTATGTAATTTTTAACTTTTTTTTGTTCTTTAATCTTGTAGATTCCCGATAGATTTACTTCAATTTAGTCTTCACGCGTTGTTCACCGTTAATTTTTTTTTTTTTGTATGTTTTCTTTTGTTCTCGAAAACTTGTAGTCAAGGGGGGCGACCGTGTTATTATGTTCAAAGGGAGGGGAGGGCATGTGACGGCGGGAATAAGGGATTAGAGATCAAGCCATCTTCGTAAGATATAAAATAAAACGTAACATTGAATCACACTTTTTTTCCGAGAGGATGAAGGCACCGGGAAACTAAAACTACTGCCAACAAAAAGCGTGTCTCATATAGCAATTTCGGGGAAAACGCTTGACAGGAAAGAAAGTGTCATAACAAAGAAAGACGTCCGTAAAAATCCTCACGCGTGCGCGGGGGTCGAAGGATAGGATGTTATAAGGTCGAGGCTACTACGCGCTCGGTAGCTTGCTGTACGCACAGCTGATCCGTTCAGTGACGGGTGAGACGTGCGATCGCGTCGCGCGGGCATGTGAATCGCGTGACGTAACATGATGCAACGCTCAGTCACGTGAGCGTCTCAGCTGTTCGTCGTCGTGCCTATGCGATCGCTCGCCTCTGCCCGTAGATCGCCGATACCGCTCGTCGGAAAAAACCGCAGTGAGTCGAAACAAATCGCATATGAAAGCTGAAAGAGCGATAATACTCGAACAAAATAATACAAATCAAGTAGTAATAGTTGTCATCGACGATTAAAAGAAATGGATTTAATATTAAAGTAATACTTCTCATCTTCTATATCCGAAATATTTATAATAAAATCTACAATAAAAAAGGTTTGCAATAAATATGAAAAATTCTTTTCGTTTAGCATAATCAAATCTTTCTCTCTTACATTTTATATTTTATAATTATTTCTTTGCTAACGAATTATTGTATAATTACAGAAAAATTTCCACATATTCGTCTTTGGATCTGAAACATATACAACACGAGCCTGATTTTAAACTAAGGGAATGATGCCTTATATCATTTTTAAATCGACGGCAGAAACCAACACCCGATACGGAAGAAAGTTGACAATGCAGCGAATAGCAAAGGTAATGAAGTATCGTTAGTTAAGCAAGCTGATTTTAACTACGCGCGCATTAATAAGAGATATTTTGCTATTTATACATGGGGTTGTCCGTAGCGTGGCTTTCAAGATATGCGAATATGTTTATATACTTGAGTGTGATAAAACGCGTTATCTGAGACATTGACATTTACGTGTATATATATTTGTATATTTCGGCATCTGTTGGATGCATATATATGTGTGTGTGTATATGTCTGTGTTTGTGCGCGTATAAGTGGGGTCGAGGATCTAAGAAGCATCTCGCAAGAGGCGCAAAGCTTACACACAAGCGGGGAAGAAACACGCTCGATTTAAATCGATTTCAACACGGAGATGACGACTCAGAGATAATGAGAGGGAATGGGGGGGGAGGGGAGAGGATGAGAGATCGGATCTCTATTATTTAAATATTGATCCGGACAAAAAGCGAACTCCGGTGCTCTACTTTCTATAATACGTTATACTTCGAAGTCGTTGATTAAAGTGCAATTACATTGTCTCGCAAGCCGTAAGTAATATGTAGGTATTCTCTCTCTCTTTCTCTCTCTCTCTCTTTCTCCTTCTATACGATTTACTATTTAAAGTTAATCTGTAGAATAGACACTTTTTACTACGTGATCTGAAATCGTAATAATCGGAGTACTCTAATACAGTATGTTGAGAGAGGAAGAGAGAAAGAGAGAGAGAGAGAGAGAAAGTAAGAAAGAAAGGGGCGGGCGGGGCGGGGAATACTTTGGATACGCTTTTCTTCGATTTCAGGCCGAAGGTACACACGAACGTTTCCAAGGCAGGTATTTTCGGCTACGAGGTCTGTCTCCAGTGAGAAATAGAGTATTTTCCGTGAAGAGCATATGCCTCCTAAGTAAAGTTCGTCGCGAGAGCTCGAAAGAAGCGTTCCGCTTTGTGTTCGTTTAGTGTTTCATCTTGAATACCCTACTTCATCTAAGTCATTGTATATAATACGTTCGTGTATAATATTACCTAGAGACACTAAGCGTTACTAACGCGAGATTAAATCGTTCCTTCTCTGTCTATCTCTTTCTGTCTTTCTTTCTCTCGCACTCTCTTTCGCTTACGGGTGTAGAGGGACAAGGGGGGAGAAGCTACAAGGAGAGCATGAAAAGCGGAAATGAAGAAATAACGAAACGGCAGCGCACAAGAATGTCCACGGGCTGCTCTCTCGGTGATCTCCCGTCGCGGCGAATCGCAGGGAGAATCCCAGCAAAGGGGGGGGGGGGGCGACCGTATAGCAACAATGATTACTATCTACTAAAGCTATTAAGCTTATAATGCTTGATACATCGACATGCAATTAGTTTCGTTCGGTAAAACTCTCGTCCTAAGGGCTACAATATACCGCTCTCTCTCTCTCTATATATATATAGGTGTTAAATAATCTAATTCAAAAATACTATATAGAGTCCTCGTTAGCTTAGTCGAAAGGTTAATATCCATCAACATCGAACTACCAATGTCAAGGCTCTTTATCTAGAAAGTCGCTTAAATGTTTTTTTTTCTCTTTTTCATTATCTAGACAATTTTCCATTGCGTTTGCAAATATAAGTTAATTGCTCTTACACAGGGGGCGGGGGGAGGGGGCATTCCTCTGTCGTTGACAATTATCGAAAATCTCTGCGCGACACGTGTGGCGGGAGTTGACACCCGCCGCGCTTTTCCTCATATCAAAATATGTTTTTCCTTCGCTCTCTTTCTTTTTTTTTTCGTTCGATTTGCATGCCAGCTGGAGGAAAATCGCCCGCATATTCGGGGAAAAAAGTCTGCATACATACACGTATATATACATATATAATAGTACTCTGAATAAAAGGAACTCTCTTGAAGAATCGCGTACAGCATCGAGGGAGCGATTGCTCAATCTCGAAATGTGTTCACATATACGTGTCCACGTATACTATACGTAGATACGTATATATGAAATAACATATCCGGTTGCTTCTCTCTTGTGTTCCATACAAAAATTCATCTCGTTCCTTCCAGTATACCTATCTTTCTTTCTCGCTACTTCTCTTTCCCGAGCCTTTTGTGCTTACATGACTTCTCGTTGCGTACGAATTATTACGTACCGACAAGGGAAACATTTCGCGCACCAAGTCTCAAGGCGGTTTTTCTGCGAAGAAATCCAGTCACACTTTCGTATTATCATGTAAATATCATGATCGATTTATGATTTACTGAGTGTGTGTATGTCAAATAAAAATCAAAACTATATGTTTATGTGTCTTTATATATATTCATTCTGTTGCACTTACTATGTCTGATCTTTTTATAATCTCGAATCTAAAATTAAAGCGCTTCGTATCATTGGTTAGTATTTTATAGTTACATAATTTAAGCATTATTCAGAGTTGAGAAGTTTATTTGTGGAAAATAATCAAGCAACAAATATTATTTTAAATACTAAACTTTTAGTTTTTAAATGCACAGATTTGCAAAGTTAAAAATCGCAGTTATAATAAACGTATTGGAACAAATAAAATTTTTTTCTGTGTACTAATAACATTGCAATGTGAATTTTATAAAGTTTTAATCAAAAATTTGAACACATGAATTTATATTAAATCAAAATTAAAATTTTCCCAATATATGTGCGGATATAATTTTATATTAATTATTTATCTTATACAATTTATAATTCCCTTGAATGTAAAAAAAACATGGTTATTTCATTATTTCAATTTAATAAAAAATAATTTGTTTTGAATTAAGTTTAGAAAAACTTACTCATTAAAAATTGTTTAATAAATTAGACGTGTGCAGACTTTCAATTTTACCTAGAGAAGTATATATTGTTTGCTTGTTCGTTTACGCGTTACATCTATGGTTACGTCAAGTACTTTTCATCAGTAAATCTTTCAAATTACGATTAATCTTGTTTCTGGCGTGGATGATCTATAGTGTATATCTTTGCGTTTCGTGTCTTGCGAACCCATTTTAAAAAAATGTTTACCTCGATATTTTAAACATTTCATCTGCTATAATTTCGATAAAATATCCAATTTCTGTATGATTTATTATATTTCACGTAATTAATTATAGATATTTTAATCATATTTTTTATGTTGAATTGAAAAATGTAGAAAAAATATTTTCTGCTTCTATTTCTCAATTTTTCCTCCGAATATTTTATTTGCCAGATAAAGTAATAAAATGCTTAGAAAGCTCAGTTTACTCCTTTATTTTGATATTTTCTCTAAATATTTCAATCATTATATTGGAGAAGATATGCCTATAAAACAAACTCTTTATTACTTTGATTTTACGTTCCGGAAGAGATGTTTAAAGAAAATGTTTTGCTCTTTTTCATTATTTTCCGTAAATGTTTCATGGTAACCGATTAAATTTACGAACAAAATCCCCATAAGTCCCGTTGAAACTTTATGGACGTAATTTCGAAAACGCAACCGACACAATCGTCGACGGGCAATCCGATTAAGTAGATTAATCGCCGAAACGTAGTAAGCGTTCCCGTTCGTTCCCCCACCTCGTTCGAACAATCGTGGCAATCGCGACCATAAGTCGGAGCGCTGACCGGTTTCTCCGCAGAATAAAAACACACCTCGCGCATTTCATTGTTCTGCCCCTCTGTCTGTCCCTTCTATCTCTCTCTCTCTCTCTCTCTCTCTCTCTCTCTCCAATCTAATTGACCATCTTCTTTTGCTTTCTCGCCATCCTTCTCATTTTCATTTCCTTTTCCTAGCAGAGTCAAAAATGCGTAGCGCGCAAGAAGCTAGGTAGGTAGGTACACACGAGCATATCCGGCCAACACGAACGATAGAACGCATGAGAATAGATTCCAGTCATTCTTGTTGACACAACAACCCGGGGGTTGCGAAAAAGATGTTTTCCGCATCGCACGTAAAACATACTTGAAAAAGTATCTTCGTATAGTGTGTAACATTCCGTAAAGACTCTTAACTTAATTCTCAACTAGTAACCTGCAGAAGTACTTATTTGATCTAACTCGACGGCAGAACCCCAGTTAAGAATTAACGTCCGGAGACACAATATGCGTGTATATGTGTGTGACGATTCTCTTTAATCTTCGAGTTTATAATCGCGTTTCTCATGCGATCCAGCGAGCAATCGTTGGCCATGCGAAGCAGCATTCTGTTTTTAAGCGGCAGCATATACAAATCACCCGCCGAATTTAATGTCGTCGTTCAACGAGGCGATACGTTTCCCCATCGATTTCCTCTCGGGAATAAGTCTTCCTCCCGAGAGATTCACCGAAACGTCGAATACGACGCCCGGCATGGACGACGGCAAGGAATTCGTGCGGGCGAATCTCTTACTTGATTACAAATAATTGTTTTGCTTTGTGATTGCTTGCTGCAGCAGCTAAAACCCTTGACTCAAGTTGGGAAGCTCAAACTCCAGTGGATTCGTCACAACGTTTTCATCGTGTTTTGTCATTGTCTTTTTTGTCGTTTCTTGTTTTTTTTTTTTTAGTTTTCGCTTTTTAGAATGACTCTCGTGATATTATATTTGTCCATAAATATCGGAGCAGCGTTTCGTTCCTTCTTTCGTTTCTGTCCGTTTTTATTATTTTTTTTTCTCATTTCTGCATTCGCATAATTATCATTAATTATAATATTCGTTTACATTGTGTATTTACTAGAGGTTTTGGTATTAAAGGGAAAGACGGGTATAGTACTGTCCGACGATTAATTTCGCGCTCTTTAGATGCGTTGTCTGTATGTGACCGTTTTGTTTACCTAAAAACTAATTCATCGTTTAGCGATTAGAGAGGAAAATCCGTTCGAAAATAAGCCGAAGGCATCCCGGTCGTTTATCTCGTTTTCGAGGGCGTCGGGATCAGGGTGTACCTGAGCTTTAACGAACCGTACCATCGCGAGACGACACGAAAGGAGGAGTTATCGATAACTTCTCGAAGGACTTTGCTCGTCTAAACATGCTGAGCGGCTGGCAGGCGAGTGGGACGAATATCTGAATATCGTTCCTGCTCTTGGTGTCTTTTCGTATGAAGACGTAGTAAATGGGGGAAAATCTAGTTCACTGATACCAAAGAAGAAGAAATATATCCCGAAGACGAGGAGCGCGGGTCTCTAAGAGAAAGTATCGAGTATATTCTAAGTGGAATCACAATTGAAAATATCTCGCTCTCCTCTTCGTGGTGTCATTGAATCACTTAAATGGACATTCATATAGATTATTGTACTTAATTTTATATAATATAACGTATATATATATATGTATATCTCTTTTTCTTTTCCTCTATGCGTATCTAATTAAATCTATGTACATATACTAAGTATGGGCACGGAGGAACTCGTCCGTATGTCTTTCCCCATTCGTTTCGATGAATTTACATGTATATCCCTCTTGAGTTGCGTTTGTAGCAATATCTATCGCATAATCGACGGTTATTGAAGACGGAAAAGTAGATAAAAAAAAAAAAATTTGAACGTATGGATTGTGATGTTACATTACGAATTAAAAGCGACGATATACGTATATCAAAAAGAATACAACGAAAATACAATTAAATAATTTCGAATACATGACTAGAATTACAATGTTGAGAGAGAAGCATGTAAAAAAGGAAGAGCAAATTTTAAAAAATCAACGTTAAAATTTAAGTGAATCGTCGCAAAGAAATTACATGTAAGTTATAAAACGGATTATTATATAACGCGCGTATAAAACGCCCTTCCCGCTCGTTCACAAACTTATTTAACAAACAATTTCATAATCGATGACAATCCTAGAACCCTCAGTACTTTTTATTCTGTATCTAGTGCTAACCGAATTACTTCTCACGCAATAATACTATTTTATGTACACGAGTAATTTACAAAGTTGAACTTCCAGCTATATTCGCGCCTACTGGCAGCCTCGGATCTTTCCCTTCTAATACCAAAGGTGTATTAATCTGTTTTTTTTTTCCTTTTGCTTTGATAAGAGTGTCCTTTGATTCTTAAATGCTGTACAGGAACATTTACTCTTGCTTAACTTTTTAATCACTCGTTTAATATATATATTTTTATTATTTATTACTTTATATCCGTAGGCTTCTCTCGTCTCCTTCTTATACTTATTTTTTTTTGTCGTTAGAGTACTTTGTGTTATATCTAAATTTCGTTTAAATAATTGTTATAATTATCGTCAAAGTGATTGATTAAACGATTAATGTATTAACTAACTTAAAAAAGAATAATACGATATAACATTTAGTAAAGTAAAAAAAAGGGGTACGTGAAGGATCCTGATCCATCATCATGACTAGTTCAAAAGTGCATTTTTCATTTTCGCAATGTGTTTCGGTATGAATATATTCGATAGATCATATCGTATCGTTGGTCGGGAAAGTTGGTGTAAGCCTCTCCTGGACGGTAAAATGTCTTTCAAATATTTATATTGCCACGTTAGCATATGTGGTGAAATTGGAAGTCTTATGCTGATCGCAGACTCGGAAGTTAAGACTCTCACTTTTTCTCTCTCTCTCTCTCTCTCTCTCTTTCTCTCTCTCTTCAGAGCAAAGTATCTCAAGTGGGCAATTACTCTTTATTACTCTTTGAGATATTTTCGACGAGAAAATCAGGTCCGCAAGCGTGCCTTAATATTAATATCTTTTTCGACGTATGTATATATACTTTGTAAAAAAATATTGCTCGGAACATCTGTTCTGGACGCGCGAGAATGTATCGTTCAAATTTTAAACTATGAAAAGAGAAATGAGATTCGCAGAGAGACGCGAATATATATGCAAAGTGCACGCGTAATCGTGGAGCATAACTTGAAGAATAGCTTCGAAGGTGCAATTAAGCGTGCACGAGAAAGAATTATCATGAAGAATGCATTTAATGACGAAAGACTCGACCGATGGAGGAGGGTCCTTCACGCGCGATATATACGATTAAAAGATATTAACGCAATAATATTTACGAAAACTGAAACAACGTATATAAATTTATTCCCTATCAATCGTGTAAACCTATACACGTGATTTAGGCGGATCGATTTTTTTCGTTTGTTTCGAAGAGCAGATATAAAACGATTCCTCTCTCTCTCTCGCCTCTTCTTTTTTTCTTCTTTTCTCGACAGTTCTCGCTCACGTCAAGAATATCTCCTCGCGATCGCTCTTGTTCATACTCCCATCTCTCCCAGAAGTCTCTCTTAGTTATTAAATATAATTTCTTATCGTATGCATATAAATTTGTCATATACATTTGTCGTAGTGTAGTAATTAATTAGTGTTTACCCGCCTATAGAGAATGTGCGATTTTCGGCGTTTGCCCGTTTCTCGCGAATCAAGTAAGACGATCGTGAAAGTCAACTAGCCGGCGTAAAACACACGTCCTAAGGCTTCCTGTTCCTCTCCTCGCGCGAGAAAACCGACCGCTTCGCAGTTTCCGACAATTTCGACGTTCCATTTCCGACTATTACTTCGCATCGCTCGCCTAATCATCGCCAATCAATCCGCCGATAACTATTATTACGCTCCCCTTCGCGCGAAATTGTTACACCCCCTTTATCATATATGCATACATATACATATCTCTCTTCGTATGTATATATACACACGTGTTTACATTATTTTATCATAAAAACAAAATATAATTGAGATTTGTTATATACGAGTATAAAAAACTTCGTTATATGCGCGCGTGCGCGCGCGCTCACCGCGTCTTATATCATATCTCGTGTAAATTATTTCTCTCTTACACATCGTCTCGATAATATTTATCGTCATTATATTTTGTATATTCTGCATACCTCTCTTTCTTTAAGATCAGCATCTATTAGTTTTGTCGCGTTGATTCGCAGCCCCTAGCTAGTCTACTTATGCGATACAATTACGATTTCTCTCACGCCGGAATCTGACGTGGATATACAATATTTTTTCGAGACATATTTTTTCTCTCCCGGATTCTCTCTTACGAGCATGCCTTGCGTTGCGCGAACGTGCACTGCATGTCACAGCGAATGAAGACACTGCACGCGGCAAGTCCGGAAAAGGAAGAAAATCCTGGGCATACAGAAACGTAATTTCCTCGACTATGCAACGGCTGAGTAAAAATACAAAGTCAATTTCACTTTCAAAACTATAGCAATTATTCCGTGATAAAAAAAGAGAAAAAAGTCATATATATTATATTGCATGTATTTCGTTTTTTCAGATTTCGTGAACGTGAAGCAAAATTAATTGCATTCAAAATATCGATATAATATATGAAAACGGAAGTTCAGGATTAAGAATAAAAACTCTCTTTCTCTTTAATTGTATTTTGTTGCTCTCGAGAAAACTATTGTTCATCGACGAAAACCGGGAAAAAAAATTTGACGTATGACTTCGCTGCGTCAACGAGGAAGTCGTAGAAACTTGAATCACGTTGAATCGCACGCGGATCATTGTTCGTTAACTCGCTCGATCGTGACAAGAATGGGCTCCAAGATGTATTCGAGTTTAACGCTTACCTTTCGAGACAAAACATTGTTCTTGGCCGTTGGGGCTTTGCACTTGATCCGAGAGACTTGGACCCTACGTGATACAAACGGGTTAAACGAAAAGAAGGGAATCGTGGAAGTTGTGAAATCTCCCGCATCCGATTTTCTTCCGGATTATTTAGGATATTCTCGACGAGCGTCTCGAAATTCGCCTCTCCTGCACGATCCATAGGAAGCCAAATAGAAATCGAATAAGAAAAAAGACAACGTTAAGGAAGACTTTAGTTACCAACTCGCACTATATAATCATAAGAAATATTTCGATGATTCTTGACTGGTACCCTCTTCGCGACGATTCGCCAGATTGCCGTTCGATTTTTCCACAGCCTCCACGATCACCTGTGTCGAATCTTTCCCCAGTTTTCTCCTTTTCGCGCTACAATTTCTCTCTGATAAACGAAAAAGAAATTCATTTCGTACCTATACATTTTCTTCCTTTCCCGCGAACATTTTCGACTTCACGCAAAGGCAGAAATTTCGCCTCGACACCCTATCTTCTCCCTCGCTCTATCGTGCGCCTGAACTCGCACTTTCGTGCGCGTGCATTACGAGCGTATATACGTCGTATATAGAGGAGTGTGTGTCGCGAAGGGGAATATCGAGACGTGCTGTTGAGAAAGTAAATCGAATCGACGGCGTGAACGACGACGTTCCTCACTCAGCGCGCCTCCGTTTCTTTCCGCTCCCATTGTTCGCAGTCGTTTCCACCATCTCGTAGACGTCACGATCCCCGACATGCATGGATATGCATGCTCGCGCAAGCTTTATCGAGTCCTCTTCCTCCTCGCTGTCCCCGCTCGCTGTCGCTAGCAACCCTATGGCGAGGCGGACGATGCGATCGCCATCAAAGGTGCTGGCGGTAACGCGATCGGTATGTGGTAATATTTACACTGGGGTCGCATGCACGCGCCCTTCACTGCGTCCCTGCACACCGTTACGCGGTTCTCGATCACCTCCACGTTTCCTGAAAATTTATAGAGAAATCGGATCAGTCAAATTATATATATGTGCTTGCGCATGACGAAATTCCTGCCCATTTCTTCGCCATCTACGGAGACTATAGTGTCAAACAATGTTCCCCAAGATCAAGATATCATTGAATTTCTCGAACAATGTTGAAGATTAAAATGTACTGCCAATTTAAACGTATAGAATGAAAATGTGCTTTGGTATGTTCGGATTGCAGAAACTATTTTTCGAGAAAAACTAATTCTCTGTATAATTTAAACATAAATAATATTCTATTTAGATTAAAGATAATTTATCTCTGACTCGTCGTGAAGAAAACTTGACGATGCGATATTCTCATCGAGTATATAAGAGCGACGCATAAATATTTTTCAAAATTTTCACCAACGTTAAAGGGATTCATGCAAATTCGCAGCGACATACAAATCACGCTCGTTATTCGCAATGTATACATTGTTCGCAATTGATTATGTAAAAAGTACACCCTCTAATTGTTTCGCGAGCTAGCGAGAAACGTTTTCTCTCTTGCATTGTCGAGTTCACCTCGTCTGCTTATTATCGCGAGTGGAACCTAATTGACGACGGCTTGACAAAAGAGAGATTCTCGTTACATCTCGGCAAAGATCATTCGCATGCTAAACCCGAAAAAAGCGAGTCGCGCTGTAACAGCGTGACGTTTTTAATAAACGCCCCGGGGATAATGAAGGCGATCAACGCGACGTCGACGTCGACGTCGCAGAACGGAAGTAAAATAAAAGCGCCGAAACGACAATCGGACTTCCGGGCGATGAAACCGTGAATGATTTATTGCTCGTAATTGCGACGCGTCTCGTACCCACGGATTGGCAAAATCTGTGGAAAATCGAGCGACGAATGTGTGAAAGACAAGGCCATAATCATCCGTGCCTGCTGTCTATAGAATTAGTTCCATCACGCAGGAATTTCAATTTAACCGAGAATCTGCCGATTTTACCGGAAATCTCGTTACCCCGTGATACCGATCAAGGAGATGTTTGAAAATCGCCAAAGCGCCCGATGAATATCAATTCGACGAGTCAAGTATTCACTGTTGAGATATTGGTTCGTATCCTCACTGCACATTCGGCTTTAAATGCAACACCATTCCGTAGCATTTTAATTTTTTAATATAGGTCGCGGTCATCGGTGCAAATCATAGGATCGAGAAAGGGCAAAGATATGAAAATGAGAGACTAATTATATGATTTCTCAATATTGAAAATTAACGAATTTTGATGAAACAAATTTTTTAAGTACAGGCAAATAAATGCAACAAAATCAAAATATTTTCAATGTATTCGAAATTTCTGCTTCAATATAAATTTTAATGAATGATAAAGTATAATTATAAAACCCACGTTCTTATATCTTGAAATTAATTATGATCTGTGCATAGAACATTTTTTTCCGCGATAGTCCCCATCACTTCACATAAATATGTAAGTAGCACTTATTCTGTGCATTTAGCTGCGCTACGATTGGAATCTGTGCTCCCCAATAACGCCCGAATAACTCACCGTCACTGAGATGAATAAACTTGCAGGCGGGACGGTTGCACACTTGTCGATTAAAATCTTGGCACACCGGGAGGGTGTCCAGTAACTGAAAGAAAATGTGCCAGATACTCTTATAGCAAATGAGATCGGCAAACGGTGTACGATATGTGCAAAAAAAAAAAAAGAAAAAAACTTATGATATCGCAGGCACACACACATGCGCCCTCGCAAGATTTCGTTTACACACAGATACACGCACACGCGCCCAATCATATCTCATGTACCGTTCTCTCTCTTTCTCTCTCTCTCTCTCTCTCTCTCTCTCTCTCTCTCTCTCTCTCGCTTAGGATTGCTTTACAAATATACCAATATCCCATAATTAAATTCTTTTCACCTCCTATCGAAATGGATAACTAAAATCGTGTGTTATAATAATATTATACATACATTTCTGTACTTGTTAATTAGTTTATCCACGTTGTATATACAAAGCAATCTTGAATAATTGAAGAATAAATATCGGTGTGCTATCCGCGATAATTCTTTCGATTTATACTTTATTCTGATATCGTTGTATAATATATTACAAAAGTATCAGTATAAATTAAATTCTCATCGAATAAATGAAGAATAAATGAAGAATAAATATCAGTGTGCTATGTGTGTTTGTGATAATTCTTTTGATTTATACTTTATTGATATTGTTGTGTAATATATCACAAAAGTATCAGTATAAATTAAATTAATTAATCTGCAAAAAAGTGTTAGTATTCACTATTTTTTTAAAGAATGTATCATTAAAATACATTTACTTATTTCTTCATTTATTTATTTAAAATCCAGTTTATTAATTAAAAATATCAGGTATATTAGTATATTTTTAAGCATCCCTGTTCTCACTGAGAGATTTTTCGCACAAACATACGTTCCAAATTCTTCAGTGTTAGAGCATATCCACGATTCATTACATGCTCTAAAAGATCGGTTCGTATATGGATATTAATTAATTGCTACTGATGTGCGAATAATCAGAGCGATCGGATTGATATATTCGAGATGCATGATCCGAGACGAGTGACATCCTTTTCCCGTTGTAACCCCGACTAATTAAAAACAAAAGATAAAGTAAAAGACGACCGCTTTTGAGTATTCGCACATACAAATTAAGTGGTAAATTTGCAGTAGAACTTTCGTTTTCAAACAGGGAATTTCCTATTATGGTGTGTATATATATATTTATCGTAATGTAAAATATTAAAATAATTCTGATCGACAGAATCTTGCAGCTAAATCGTATTAATTCTATCGAATGGATACATTCGCGGTTTGTCGGGATTTGCAAGATTGGCTTGATTCTGGGCGAAAAAACTGAGGGAATTCGTATTAATTTTATAACACGAGCCGGTTATGTATGTGTGTGTGAGACACTTTCGTTATGCTAATCTCCGTGATATCTCGGACACAATGTGTGCAAGGAGCGCGCCTAGAAACAAGGATCTTTAATTCGCAAATTTCGTCGAAAGTTCGTACGATCAAAGTCTACGATCCAATGAAAATATTTGACATAGTAAAATTGTCACGTTCGAATATTAGCTTGGACCTTGATACCTATATTCAAAATTAATTCACAATTTCGTATCGTGTGCTCTAGTGAACGTTGTATAGAATTTGCGAATCAGATTTGGAAGCCCTCTTCTCAGCGGGCCATTCAGCGCAATGACTAGACTGAAATTTTAGTGTTAACAAAATACGGGAAAGCAACGGAAAGAGATGCTGGCAGGAGCGCTAGAAACTCTCCCGCGTTCTCTTCTCTCCGTCGTTTTCGTTTCCGATCGAAAACGATGTTGGAGAACATCGACTTAACGTAAACTCGGTTTGCGAGATAGGAGCGATAATTACAATATTACAAATGTGTGTATGTATATATATAATATGTACGCACAAAGAGATCTACTATACGCGACTGTGCGTATATCACACTTAAGTGTATTAAACGCACCGGAGGCTGTATATCAGCGGAGGCAAGAAAAGATGTTTCGGAGCAATATATTTTTCGCGCGCGCGAAAATATAATTTCACATTTAACATACGGCAAATGGTGGAGAGAAAGACATAAAATGCGAATCGCAGAACATTGGCAATCGAAAGAATACGTATAAAGTGAACCCAAGTGGAAGCGGAAACTCCACCCAGCTACTGCAGATACTATCCGTTCCTTTTATTACCCATCGGCAAAAAAGATGTATGCATATTATATGTACACACACACACGGAAACACACACGTACACTCGTATCTAGGAGAATTATTCGTATATCCGAAATATATAAGAGACAAATGCAGCAAATAGATTAAACATCAAATTCCAGAGTATGATTTTCGTGTTAGCAAAACGTTAGGTCAAAGCATTAACAACCTACCAGACAGATATATATGAAAAAATTAACAAAAAAGATAATTAAAGAAACAAAATATTATCGCGCAAAAATATACCATAGGCTCACCATATATGTATTTAAAAGCGTGCAAAATATATGAAAAAAGTAACGATAAAGTAACTTGCTTCGCCATATAAACGCTCGACAAAATCTCGGCAAAAGATTATCCCGCACACACTCGTAATAATCATAAGATAATAATAATAATAAAGTTATCAGTAACAAAAGTAAAAGTCTTAAATACGTAACGATGATAGGAATAATGACGGCCATAAAAAAAAATATAGCAACAGTAATGATAATTATATCGCTAGTAATAAACGATGTATAACCATAATATTAACCATATTATAATAAACAATTCTTGCAATTGCATAAGAGATTACTCGCTACGAACACAGAGTCTGGTCATGCAAATAATGGCCCGGGAGAAGGGGGATCGTTGCTTGGGTGATCATCGTAGGTGTTACTCGTAAAGTCGGACGCGCGTATCCAAGTGTGATTAAAGAAAAAAAAGAAAAAAAAAGAGGTCGAAGCGTCAATCTCTATTTTACGATGACGAAGGTGACGACGAGAGTGGTCCGTGTATATCAGCTGATGATGATAATACAGTGTCATCACCCAAGCGTTAGTGTGCTGCCAAAAGCCGACTCACCATCGCTTTCAGTTCGCGTGCGTGAATGACAGGACCGTAACACACACATCCACTCACTACTAAAGCTACGAGAGGAAAGAGGGTCCTTTCTCAGGTGATCCACGCCGGCGAACCGAAATAACGAGGGGGACGGCTACGGTGGCGAAAAGGGGGGGGGGAAGAACTGGATAGTCAGCGGTTATATCGGCAATATCGTATAATATATGGATGTGGGATATATGTCGTATAAGCCGTCAAATTAATAATATTCTACTGCAAATAAGTTCAACACTATGTCAACTGCGACTCCGCAACCATAACGACAGAGCTAGCCAAATATTATAGATATGTGATTGTGTGTTCGACAAAGAACAATGCATGACGATCGGTATTATTGAACCCGATCGTCTTTCATATGCGGGGAAAGCTTTGTCATTGGAAATGGTCATTGGTTTTCGAATTATCGGTCGAAGACGTAAAAGCTCGCGCACGCGTTTCTTTACTCTTTATATATATATATGTATCCATGTATTCTATATTCTGTACTTCGAAAGTTAATTGCATCAAAAGCAATCAGTGCAAGCGTAAGAGATATCCCGTGTCATTCTTTGACCAAGTAAGCGGAAATTGAGCGATTCGAGCGATTAAAAGCTGCGTGTATATTTGCTTCAAGTCTTGACGAAGATCTCGATCCTTAAGTCGCTCGAGATTGAAAGCAATTTGCGCGAGGCAGATACTCGTCTTGAATGAAAAATTACTCGAATTTGTTCAGTTTGCTTCGATTCTTTGGCTGTAAAATAGCGTTAGCTTTCAGTTGTATGATAATTCGGAAAGCAAGAGTACAAACGCGCAATCGTAAATCACGCCATTGTCATTGCCCAATGAAAATATCACGACTGTCTAAATAATTTATCGATTTTTTCAAACGTTTCACGATATAATCAAACGCCGTTCGAATCGTTCCGGTAATTATGGCGAATACTACGAATCATGTAATGTGAATATTGACACGATGCATGCGATATCAACCAGAGGATACGAGTTACCATAATTGCATTTTTTAAAAAAAAGAGGAATTGAACAATTTTGCTAAAACTCTCATTAATCTGATTGATTTAATCAAACTATTTCTATATAAAGACAAGTAAAATGTTATGTCGATGTCACAAAGACGAAGAATAGATTACTCAAGTTCTCTTGACATGTTAAAAAGTGTGATATATTTTATTACATATTTTTGATGTAATCTTTAATTTTTAATGAATCAAAGATTAGAATTTACTTTTTAATAGATTTATAAATCATTCGAAACCATAGAGATTTCCAAACGAGATTGAAACTGACATTTGATATTTCTGACAATTATATCAAGCAATTTAAAAAAAGTGCGATTAGCGAAGAAATGTAGTAGCTAGAGAGAGAATCATAATTTCATATTGAATTTCTAAATACCGCAGATAAATTATCGAGATGTGTTTTAAAATGTGTTTCATGCCCCCTGGTTTATCGATACGCGTTCTCTTAGTGTAAAGGAAAATGTAATATAACTGAGCATGCACAGTATACACGCCCGACACTCGTAACAGCTGTCTATATCGTATATGTTACTTGCGATAAGATGCACTGCGAGAGAGAGAGAGAGAGAGAGAGAGAGAGAGAGAGAGAGAGAGAAAGAGAAAAAAATAAACAAATAGAATACTGAAGCGTACAAGGATAGAAGTTGTTTTCAGACGGTAGCATTAGATTCAATTGTGACACGGATACAAAGAAATATTTAAAAGACATCCCGACAATATCCTCATCCACAAATAAACGCGCAACGTTAATCAGACAAGCGGTTCAAGACAATGGCATGATAGATATAATAATATATATATATAATATATAGATACATGGCAAATTGTTTAATTGCAAAAGTACTAATCATACTAATTACTGTATAAGAAGCGTGCATCTTTTTTTCGTGAATAGGTTTGTCCGTGTATTCATATTATGTGTGTATATGTATGTATGAATATTCGTATGCCTATGTATGTATATATATATGGGGCAGAGGGGGCGGGGGATGTATAGGTGACGACAACGCTTTCGAAATAGCATAATAATAATTACTGGTATAATAATAGACAAACACCAGATAAAAAGGCAGTGGTTATTCGCAGTTATAGTTGCGGTGAGCAGTCGTGAGGGAGATGCCCCCGAAAGCTACGTGTTAGCCAAAGTTACCGAGAGATGTGGATTACGGAACGGGGTTCGCTCTTTAAACTAATCAAACAAACATCAAATCTCCTGCTATCTAAGCGGTGCGTGAATAAAAAAAAAGCAGATTATTCATAGAGCGATAACCGCGATTATCCTTCTCTCTCGTTAACTTCGAAGGTTAGCAGCAATTAAAGTTCGAGCTTGCATCACGGAGCACCATACATTTTCTAATTTTTCGAGTCGGACAATTAGCGATTAATATCAAATTAATTCTATTTACGTCAAGAAAAAGTGTCGTAACGTATATAAAATCCATCATTCGCGCAATGTTTTACGAAAAACAATGCGAAAATGAAGGAAAAAATAGAATAGAATTCCTCGAAGCTCGATCGCGGTGAAGAGCAGTCATCTCGCGATTACGATCTTCAGGGAATTGAGCAGGGACTTGTCTCACACGCGATCATGCGATCGGCGCGTGTGATGCAAACTCGAGACCGGATAAAAAACTGGTTACAATAATGAGTCTACCTGTCCGCAGCTGTCTGTGTAGACGACACAGTGAGCATTTTGGGGGACCACTTGGGCCCCGACAGTGGCTAAGGCTGCTAAGGCGATCCACATGCAGCAAACGAGGCAGTGTTCGTACGGTATTTTTTTTTTTTTTTTTTCAAGTATCGGTAGTTTTTTTTTTTTTTTTTTTTGGTGGTCGTTTTTTCATTACCACACAGTCGGTTGAATTCGGTGGAGAAGGCACCAGATCAAAGGAGACACGCGTGGAGCGTGTCCTCGGAGCATCCAGGTACATGTACGACAGTAAGATCGAATTTTTGTTTCGTGTGTTATTGTTCGGTTTCAAATTTTTTGTAATGCGCATCGTTCATTTCATTTCGTTAATGATATTATTATTTTTTTAATTAAACACTCCACACGAGGGGACCATGATGAGTCGTCGGTTAAAATTGCAGTCGCAGCCGTTCGTCGTTCCGATAAATGTGCGCGCGAGAACACGACGCGAATGAAAAAAAGCGCGTGAGAAAAATGAGAGCGTAAATTACGGAAAACGAAAGTGTAAATCGTCGGCTTGTCGTAACGCCCGTGCATTTCGTTTATTTATTCATTTATTTTTTTTTTTTTTCAAATTCGCGTTTACACACGCACGGTCGAGTGTGCGATGCGAATTTCGAAACGTTGCATCGCCACGTAAAGAGCGAGTGTGGGTGTGTGTGTGTGTAGTACGCATGTTCGCACGCATTATTGTGCATTTTTAGATTACGGCGTACGACGACGCATGTACCAGAGTGTGTCGCGCAGATAATGGGATCCCGATTTTGATTTTGTCCGCGGGTGATGGGCGGGCGTCGAAATAATGCGGTGCACACATACCAAGCCAGCGTTTCAAGAGAAGAGAATATTCATTATAATAATACATAATATATATATACGTGTATATATATGTCGGAAAAAATGGGAGATTATATATAAATGTATGTGCACGATATAAAAAGCCCGCGTCCGGATATAGAGGCGAAATTCGGGAAAAATCAATCAACCGGTCGGACCGAAGCACGTGATAAAGCGGAGAACAGGAGCGTGTGTCAGGTCGCCGCCACCCATCGACGAGCGTATACGTCACGTGTGTTTTTCACCAGCATTATCATTTCGTTTATTTTTCGTTTTATCACCGCGAACCATCGTTTTCAAGTCGCACGACAATGTTCGAATCCGTACGCCGTTTTATTTCGTTCATTCGTTTGCCAAATATTTATTGAACGATTCGGCATGGCCGTCAACGAACGAGAAACAAGTTCAACGAGTGTGAGAAATAGGAAAAAAGAGAGGAGAGGGAGAGAGACAGAGAGAGAAAGAGAAGAGCGCCGACAAAACCCATCACCAAAGTTCGTCCACGATTGGTTAGCGTACGGGAAAATAAAAAAAAAAAAAATAATTGGCGATTTTGCACCGAGTTTTAAGTGGCGTACAACAAACAATATCTCGCGTCGTTATTATTACGCATTTGTCATTTACGTCGCGAAGTGCGTGAGATTGTTTCGCGGATTGTTAGGCAACAATAAATATTTTTAACGTCATGATATTAATGATGAAGCGTATTAATTTTTTTTTTCCGCAAAAAATTTCCGACGTTTACGAGTGGCCAGAGAGTTGGTCACACAATCGCCACGTGAGTATAATTATCCGATCGAGATGAGGCCGGGATCGTAAGGTGGTGGGGACCATCGTAGGAAACCAGCGTGATCAATCGTCGAAGGTTTTGGAGATCAATTAGGGGATTAGATCGGCGCCACGTAGGCCACACAGGACGTTGCATCGGGATCGAGTTGGGATGAAAGCATCGGCGGGGATGATGGATCAAACGGTATGCGTGTTGGTGAATTTTCGGTTGAAAGACGTGCGGTGGGTATATCCAGGCGAGGGCAAGCATGAAACAGAAAGTTGAAAGAGAGACCATGAACGAACGCGTCTTAACATGCACCAGTGACGTATGTGTGTGTTATCTCTATATGTGTGTTTATACGTGTAATAACATATATGTGTATAATGGCTGGCACACATTCGTCTCGAGCCTGTCGTTAGAAGTCGCACGTCGATTCATTTCTTGCGCTGCAAACGAATCAAAAGATATATAAAGCACTCTGTACAAGTGTATTAATCGTACACATCTCTCTGTGGCTCTCTCCCGAAAATCGGCGGAGGTAGCCGCAGACAGCGAATCCTTCGAACGAGTACGCTCTCTCGTGCATTCTCCTCTATCAAGCGTTGCGTTTTACGTTACACCGTGTTTCGCATGCGCTAGTATAAGTGTCTATATTCGAGTTTTGTCGAGGCGACAGTTTGATCAGGTAGTAGGTACAGATGACTTCCCATTTCGAGCGATTGTGATGCATTTCTAGAAACTATCGAATCCAAATACATGTAAATCAAAATTGCTTCGAGTGAAGTTGAATCACATTTTTCGTTTCGAATAGCAAACCTGTCGAGTTCGTAAAATCTCTGGAATTATATACTTACGTTACATGCATTATTCTGATAGCATCTTTTCAATAAATTTAAATCTTACAAAGTCGTATTTTTTATCAACTTGAGATATAGAAACAGCGGCTAAAATTAAAATTGAAGCGGTTGATGAAAAAGCTTGAAATTTTAATTGGAAAATTTATATTTCATGAGCTGCTGCAAAATCGCTACAATTTATTATCCCTATAATTATTATACTTTCTCTGAAATTTTAGTTTTTAAATCTTTAATATATTACTATATCAAATAAATTTTAATTAAATAAGTATTAAATAAATTTTAATTACCAAAGAGATTTTATCCCTAATTCTTCGCAGATAAATATTGCGATCTTTCCAGAGATTTAAATGTCTCGTTTTTTTTTCGCGAATTTGATTTTCACATTCGTTTCTAGGAAATGCATTTAGCACGCAAATCGAGGGCTACTTATTAAACTAGAATATGTTGTATGCGAAAGACGCTCAAAGGCTGAAGTAAGCACACATAAACTTACTCTGTATCTACTACAAAGTATATGATTTTGCGCCAACGTTCTAAATAGCCTATTAAATAGAATAAATCTTATTAAAATGACGATGTGTGTAGAGCTAAAGCTTGCATATGCGATACAATAAAGTGCTACTGCGATACTTACATTGGAAACAGTGCTGCATGTTGATTTTAATATCGGCGCAAATATGCGGGTATGCAAGGAAGCATCGCTTTTGCGTTCAAATTCTTTAGAGCACAGAAGAAGATAGACAGCGATAAAAAATATTGATTATATTATTAATAGCAAATCTGATAAGGATCATGTAGAGAGACGGCTATATTACAGAAGCACATATAATTTTTTATTAGCCATGAGCGCAGGAAGTAACTTGCTCTTGTACGTTACAGTATACACAGCAGAACTACTACTGGATCCTGTCTAGTAAATATAAATTGCGTTTTATCTTGAATTCTGTCGATGTCAATGCTTAAACAAGAAGCAACAATTAGATCGCCGCCGTTCAGAAATTGATAATATTAATATTAATGGGTCCAATCACGCTGGAAACCGTCATTTATTTACGTTCGCGAATTGTTCGTTGTTTCCAGAAAATTGGGGTATAACGACAAATCATCCTGAAATCGTCATAGATTGCACTTCCGGATTAATTTGCTTCCGTACGCGCGTGAGCCATAAACTTTCGTTTACGCATTTTTGCGTGCATATTTGTTACACAATATATATGTATATATATATATATATATTGCAATAACAAATTGCATCGACTATTCTGTATCTTTCGTGGATCTTTCCAAGGCTCTCCTTTTCGCAGCCAAAATTCATGATGCACGTTTGTAATCGCAAAAAAATTACATATGTTGACGACATAAAGGAGAAAATAGCTTGAAATTACTTGCGATTTACTACGTGCTGCGAATGGCTCTGCTCGTCGAACATGACGGAAGCGGCAAACGAGGCGCGTCTAGAAGCAGCTAGCGAAGTAACTTTGCTGCGATAAGATACGAGGCTGTAAGGCAGTATTATACGGTCCGTAAATCGTAATAAATGTTGTACAGACTCGGAACGGCAAATCAATTTTTGATAAAAATGTCATTTACCGCCTCTTAGCTTATCGCACGGTCGTGTATCACGATCTGCGAAGATCAACGATTCCAACATCACGAAGACAATTGTCTCTGAAATGAAATTTTATGTTATTATGCAGATTGCGATATCACTTTTTGGAACCATGATCTTCGACCTTTTTGTCAAGATTTTATATTTACAATAGGGGCTTATTGTGCCAAGCGTTGTGGAAGAGCTCATTAGGCACACACGCACATTTTACGCAGGCTTAGCGATGAGTAACAAAGAAAGCTGGAGAGGAAGCGAAAGGAATGTAGGATGATGAAGTGGGGGACGTATCAGAATATTTGAAAAAGGTCGTAATAAGAGAAACTAAGTCCATTACATCACATGCTTTAATTATCAATATCGGGATAATAACTTTATTTCGAACAATTCTTGTATCTATTTCTCGATCAAAATTTTCAAATCTTTCAAGAAATACACAAGCCGCGTACTACGAACGTAGCGTAAATAATTTCGAGTCTCGTCAAAAAACAACGATACCGCAAATCTAACTTGAATTTATTATGTTTGTGACATAAAAGATTTTAGCGACCGAATCGACATAAGATCTTTATTCCGGCACTGCATCTCGAAATTTATCTTACGTTACATCCGAAATATACGACTTGCCAGAGTACGATAAAACGCGATAAGAGCGCCGACCTTCTTCTCGACGATCGACCACCTTTGCCGAGGAACGGAACTTGGTGTGGCAATTGTATAGAATAACAGGATCGAGAGATCAAGGGTCAATGGTGTGTATGTATATGTGTGTGTGTGGGTGTGTGCGTGTATGTGTGATCGGATAAAAGGGCGGGGTATAGATATATTAATATACCCAGATACATCTCCGTGCCTCAAAATTATCGCAACTAAAGCGCGGGAAAAGCCGTGAAGACGGAAATGAAGGTAGGCGGAGGATGTGAAAATTACGGGAAGCGGTAAAGAGGCAAGAAGAAGAGGACAGCGAGTCGTACGGCACTCTTTTACGGTGTTCGCCATAGTAGTAAAGAAGCGGCTAACATCTACATATGATCTTAAGATCCGCGTGCTTGGCGTAACTCCTTCGCGCGCTCTCGGCGGTGATAGAGATTCTTGTAGAATCATAGGAGAAAAAATTCGCGGATACACAACGACCGCGATAAGGAGTACCGCCGAGAGCACGCGACGATGAAGGGTCACTTTGCGATTTTAAGAGCGTCAGCGGGAATAATCGTCGAAATTAACATAAGTGTAACTAATGATCGGAAATCGGTGTGACGGTACACCGATCGCAGCAGGAAAATTAACGTGTAATAACAACGATAATAATAATAAAGATTTAAAAAAAAGGAGGCTAACGAAAAGGAATAAAGAAAGTGGTTACGATATAAGCATCGAGTCGGACAGATTCCGAATAAGAGGAGATTAAAAACAAGGGAAGCAGGAAGCGAGGCTAAGACTGTGAGCAATAATGGGCGCAATATATATAATATATGTATATATATAAATGTAAATATTACACAGGGGATTATATAGCGAGTCTCTCGGGAAGAGTTCTGTTTCATTTTTTCTTTTTATCATAGAAAGAGATGAAATAAGAAGAAGCATTAATAAAACAAATATTCATGCATTTCTCAAGCATTATTATTACAAATACTGGCTGACTCCTTGACAAACCCCGTGTGAGCGTGCACGCGCAAAAAAAATACGCATTCGGGACTGCGAGATCGACTGCATCTATCTCGAGTCGGCGGCGCAAGCTGTCGCGTTTCATCATTTTTATTATCGCCGTGCCTCGCGCGAGGACGACGTCAATCCTGACGCATCGAGACGCACACACATAAACGCGAGTACACACAACACGGTGGTAATTCGAAAGTATTCGGACAGACTCGCGTAAAGACCTGCGCGCACGCGCGCGCGTACAATTGTTGCGCCAAATTTTTGCATCTACATTCCCGGGGTCGTGCGTAATGTAATTCTCGATATATCGATATTATACATATGTGTAAGTCTGGGTATGTGTGTGTGTGTGTGCGTGTGTGTGTGTGTGTGTGTGTGTGTGTGTGTGTGTGTGTGTGTGTGTGTGTGTGTGTGTGTGTGTGTGTGTGTGTGTGTGTGTGTGTGTGTGTGTGTGTGTGTGTGTGTGTGTGTGTGTGTGTGTGTGTGTGTGTGTGTGTGTGTGTGTGTGTGTGTGTGTGTGTGTGTGTGTGTGTGTGTGTGTGTGTGTGTGTGTGTGTGTGTGTGTGTGTGTGTGTGTGTGTGTGTGTGTGTGTGTGTGTGTGTATATGTTTACATACATATATGTATAATAATGTACAATGAAGAATTTTAAAGACACAGTATACAGTACATAATAATAAATACTATATGTATGGGTGTGTATGTGTATAGTTATGTGTATGTATATAGTTATATTCGTAAAATGTTTCTCTCTTTTTCTCATAATAGTGTCTCTATTATAATAGTGTACTCGAACATGTATGTGTGTATATGTAGTTATATATATACACATAGTCCACAAAATAATTTCCTGTATATGCGTGTAACCAGTTTTATCTTGCGAAGTATATACTTTTTTTCACCTTTCGTTGCATCGCGTTTAACTTACATGCAACAACGACAAATATACGTACGTGTATATATGTAATTCATTATTAATATTATAATTTTTTAATAAGGATATATAAATATAATCATATATATATCGCGCGTGTAAGTTCTTTCTTTGTCGTAGAGTGCTTCTCTCTTGTGTCGCGAGTTTAAATAATGTAGGCATCTGTTGTATACGCGTGTGTGTGCAATGGTGTATAGAGTGCAAGGGGAAGGCACTTCCGCTGTTTTGCCGACGTCACACCGAAAACACGGGATCGCGTTTTCTCATGCTTGTCCATCATCGTACAAGATGCGCTACACTAATACGCACATATTCTTTTTAGAAGAATACTCTCCTCTAGTAAAATATAACGAACATTCCTCTTATGTGGAAGTATGTAGTGGCTTTTGCGAGACAAAACAATCACAGTTCTAAGGAAACATTTTGCTACACGATGCAACAACGGCGATGACTTGAAATCGATTGTCCGAGCATCGACGCGTCAAGCGAGAACGTCACATTCCGGATTTTCGGTGTGAATATCAAAAGAAAAAATCAGCCACCCTCTCGATAATGTACGTATATAATTTGTAGACATCAAGTTGAGGAACCCTAAAAGTGTCGGTCCGGTATTTCAGGCTCGAGCCTATTCTTCGTCGACTCACACTGTCCACGGACCTGTTTGTAGAGCCGTTTTATTAAGTCGAATACGCGAAACTTCGCGTATCATTGTCAAATCCTCGGTTTTAACCGAGAACCGGTTAAAGGATTTTGTTCGTCGATGACATTGCGCGTTGTCATCTTCTCGAGCCCTTTAGCGCCGATGACGTCACATATGATGTTATGACATGGTGTGTAGACATCATGAATAACGATCGTGTGTAATCATTGAAAGCACTGAAAGGGCTTAGTCTTATTCCAGTGTTACACGCATGCGAGAATAGTGTGTGCGTGTACGTGTGTACGTATAGGTGTCATACATTACATATTATCACAAAGGATCCGCACGCGCGTTTATCGTAAAAATAGAAACAATTTCTTCATCTCGGGACGAGCGCTTCGATAAATTCCGTTGCTCGATAGTGCTTACAAAACGGCGTATGCGTCGAAGAAATTTCTCGCGTGACGTTCGTTATGGAAGACTATAGTATCCTTGAGAATTCCCGATTTTTTGATTCCAGAGTAGTAATGTGTAACTTTCACTCATTTATAAAAGAAAGAACCTCGTTGAAGATCTATCCTCAGCTTTAAAGTAAATAAATGTTTCTTTTTTGTGTGTTAATCATAAAATCATTCGTAGATTACAAATATCGAATAATTATTGTTTAAATTTAAAATATACTGATTGTAATCACATTGAAATTATCTTTTTAAAAATGAAACAATCGCATAAACTTCAGTCTTATAAATAGATGGTTTAGACTATGGAAGAAAGAGATACTTGTGAAATAACTACTTAAATATTATTAAAAATATGCTATATTATTTTTTTGCTGTATTTATCTTTTTTATTTACGTGAATTAAAAAGATTGTAATATAGAGACAACGACACCAAATAAATAGGCGAAAGAGAGATACTTTTTATTCCAAGTCTGTAATAATTTATTGCCTTTTCAATCTTTGTGCATTATACATGATATAATATCTACGTTTGCAGTTCGCATATTATGATATATATAAGAATCGCTACTCTAGAATCATTGTACGATAACCCCTGTTCTACAATTTTGTGCGTTTTATTTTGCATAGATGACGTTATGACCCTGAGGAAGAAGTTGTTTCTAATATCGCGGAAGAACTAAAGAGATTGAGGAAATTTATCTCTCTTCTCCATCATCTTCGTGCTTCCTCGAGCCAAACTTAGCACAAGGAATGACACGGTATGATACGATCCGAATAAATTTCTTAGCGACTGCAAAATCGCCACTTCGCGCGATCGGATTAAAATTAGACTGTTACGATTTAAAATAGATAACACATCGTGAACGAATAGAAGGTTCGTCGAGATAGTTAACTTCACTTGCGCGTACCGGGATATCTTCATCGAAATACCTCACCTCGTTCTGTTCTTCCGCGTTTTCGTGTACACAAATTCCTACTGTTGTACAATTCGTTCGCTCGGTTTCCCCGGTGTGCGAAAATTACGATACGCGACCGGCCGTTTCGTTCATTCTCCGCTATACGTGTCAGCGAGTGCTTTCCATACATATATATATATGATAGATATATTTTTCAATTTTGTTTCTGTATAAAGTTTATATAGTACATATGCATACGTACATACGTATATATATGTTTATTAATTATGCATCTCGACTTAAACAAACTTTCAAATCACTGGCAGACACGTGAATGCGGACAGAGAGAGAGAAAAGCAAATGCTCACGTTTTCTCGTAAGACGCATGCGAGAGCTAGCGCCAGCACTGCGTAATTCTCCGCTATTCTCTCTCTTATCGTTATATACGCGCGAGTTAATAAAAATATACGCAGTATCTATCATCTAAATATCGTGTGAGTGTCTTAAGTGTTACTGTTTGCGCGGTCGTGTAATATGATACGCATGTGAACGTTCGCGTTCCTTCCACCTCCCGAAAGGGATGATCAACGAGACGTTTTTCTCCTCCCGTCTCACCGCCTCCATACAAGATTAGACCATTTTTGTATTCCCTCCTTTTTCTCCTTCGAATTCCACGTAAATGCATCTGCGTGTTCCGCAGATCCGCCGTTTTTCCTTTCTTTTTTTCTCGTCAACTGCTACTTCTCTCATTCGGCTAAATGCATAAGCTCGTAGATCGCGAATTGACGAAGTTCACTTTGTGCAACAGACTCCCCCGAATTGAATCCATCAGGATAGAAAAGTACGTTGTGTTCGAGCACGCTTATGCTAAAGATATAGATAATACGCTAACTAAAGCAAACAACTATCCTAAATTTTACGAATACTATATAGGATAAATAACGGCCCGACCGGAAATTCTTCCGGTCGGGTTTACATATACTCGTCGATGTGCAAGATATTTCTAGGAAATATATGTTATCATATAGGCATAATATATCCTTAAATCTAAACGGAAAAAAATACAGGTCAAATCAATAAAAATTTTAAAACAACTCTCTAAACATTAACAAATATATCACGGCATTGTATGAGCCTCATATATAATCCAAAATATATCTCGGACATCATATCATATGATAACGAAGAAAACAGCTCTTTTTTAAATGTACTACGCTATGACGTTAAAAATGCGACAATGATTTGCGCGATTATTTAACCTCGTTCCGCGATAAACGAGTAAACAAAAAATTTCGAACCTATTATTACATTACATAAACAAACAAATTACTAATAAAATAATAAAATAAACCAACTTCGCACAATAATTATTTCAAGAATCTGACCGCTGATTAACGTTACGCTACTTAAAGGCAAGTATCGCACATAATGTGACATAGGCCGAGCGTTATTTTCATCTTCCTTCTGGCGGACGTTACATGTTAAAATTTGGACGAATGGCTATAACACAGAAATTTATAGTAGTTCCGAAATAAAAATATTGCAGCGCCAATCTTACGACGCGAATATATTGACTTATTTACAAATTTATCTTATTAAAAAAAAAAAAAAAGAACAAAACAGTCACGCGCAACGACACATAACGCTTTTAACAATGCTCTCTACGGTAAAATAATGCTAATTAAAATGACAAAGCTGAGCTATTTCTACAAATATATTTGCGCAAAAATATCGCCATTATTCTAAGAAAAATAAAAGGCAAATAAAATAGGCGATTGATATTATCTGTGATTCTTTCGGTCACGCTCGATATCTCGCAGACTCTCCCGTCCCCCTTTTCGAACGCGCTCTTGATCGGCAAGTCGTTTCAGATTCACTTCGACAGTAACAAAATCGGAACGGTATAGTCATGTCTCCTTTAATCATTCGGGCAAGTAATTAATGCGTCGGGAATAAAATCTCGCACTTCCTCGCGTTGTTCACCGTTCTCTTTCGCAGTTGTACGCTCGAAACGCTCCAAATGGAATCGGGTCGATAAGGCACTGTTTACCGACAATGTCTGACTAGAAAATGAATCTATTTTCGGAACTTGTTTTTTTTTCTTTTTTATATACCAGTATTTCACCTCCCGCTTTGCAGTCGCTTAGCTAAACATTCTGTCCCTCTCGTGAACAACGACCGATTTCTCGCTTCTTGAGCACCGGTGATGGAGATTAATCTTAGAACTGCACTCTTGTCTTAATATATTTCTCATTGCATTATCGATACAGTTAAAGATTAAAAAATACGCGATTTTTTGAATAAATTAAAGCTAATAGATTGCAAATCGATATTTTGTAAAATTACACAAAAAGAATATATTACAAATAAGACATAATTTTATTTCTATCAGCGAAAAAAAGAAATATAGAAAAATCAAATAACAATAAATGAAAGGGGAGTTTATTGAACTCCGCCATGCAGTTTATAGCGAAAGCTATAACATTCTAGGACTAATTCCCATCTGGTTTCGCGCAAACAAAAATATCAAATAATTATTTCGATGAATTATAGATTTTTAAAAATGTATTTTATATTAATTTTGTAAAGCAAAATTTCTGTTTATGCAACCGCGATTATATCTAGAGATGCAGTCAGTATCAATCTGTGTGTGATACTGACTAAGATTAGCCTATAAAGATATCGCAAAACTCTATTCACTGTAACGTAATCATTGTTACGATACATTGCATCAATTTCTAATCATAAAGATCTTTTTAATTCTAGAATTATCTAAAATATATCGCGCTACTGCGATAGCGGCCATCATTATCCGTAATGACTAATCGCGAAATCGATCATGCTCGTTCACGCGAGAGAGAGAACGAGAGGTGCCCAGAGAGGAAAAGGAACAGTACTTTCTCGTGAGAGGAGACGAGTCCTCCCGAGCCGGCGGTCAAGGATCTTTACGACGTCTTCATTTTCTTATACGGCTGCATAATCACCCCGGAACTGACGGGGATCGCTACTTGCGGTTGTGTCCCCGGATTTCCCATCTGCGGTATCTGCTGGACGGCCGATACCCCGGGTACACCGGCCATCCCGGGTAGAACGGCGTATGGATTTTGGATGTAGGGATTGGTCTGCATGGTCGCGGCACCGGGCATACCCTGTATCGATGCCTGGACGTAGGGATTCGGCAGGATCTGCTGCCTGATCAGGGAATATGGATTAATCGGGGTGGCCGAGGGCGGCGGTCTTGAATACGCCAGGATACCGGCCGATAGCGGTGAGGTCAGAGCGCTCGGGATACCAGCCAGACTCGAGATGACGGGTCTGGGAGTCGCCGCGGTGGCCTGCAAACCAGCAGCAGCGGCGGCGGCAGCGGCCACCGCGGGATTCCCGGCGGCGGCGGGATTCACGTGGTTCTGCTTGTTCAAAGCGACGCCGGTATAATTGAGCGCGGCCAGATGGCTGAGACCGTAAGACTGGGAGGGTTGCGACATCTTAATAGCCTTGGCGTAATTTTTCTGGGCGACCTCCTTGGCGAGAGCCGCGGGATCGAAATGGGTTGGTAAACCGGAGGCCATCCCGAGACTATTGAGCATGTTTAGACCCGCCATATTGGAAGCAGTGTTATAATTGCCTACGGAGCTCATGTTCGTTAGAGACGACATGTTCGCCATGGAAGCTATGGAGGCCATCGAGGCCATGTTCATCATGCCGGGCATCGAAGTCAGGCCGGCCATCGAGGTCAACGGACTCATCGATGGTGGCAGAGCCAGCTGATTGATCTGCTGTTGCTGTTGATGTTGATGTTGCTGTACTTGCTGCTGTTGCTGCAGCGATGATGGACTCGAATGATTCAATTCGGGAGAGTTACGCGTATTTTCGACATCATGATTCTGCGTAGCAACCGACTGCTTGTTATTGCCATTACTATTGTTACTGTTATTGTCAGCGGTCGGAGGCGGCGGCGGCGGATTGTTGCAGGGATCCATCAGCACGCCATTGTTGGCGTCGGCGCAGTTATTGACTGTGGCGCCGGCGGCTCCCTGGGAGGAGGAGGAGGAGGATTGCACCACCATCGCGTGGTGGTTGCTTTGCACGTTCGGGGGTTGCACGACCGATTGGTTAGAGGTTTGGGTGGGTAGGGGTGGTGTTCCAGTGTACTCACATGACACAGGCACGAAGGGCTGCTGTAGCTGCATTAACTGCTGATAGGTCGTCGCGCCGGTAGGCTGATAGACCGGCACGCCGGACTTGTCGGCCGCCGGTCGTTTATACGGAACCATCCCTGGGAAGGCCTGCAAAAAGAATTGCAAAAAATATCTAGGATTAGAACGAGTGGATGATACGAGCGGTGTGGCCACTCGAGCGGAAGCTTCCTTCTCCGTGAAAGCCTCGACTCCGTTTCGGCCGGGGATACGATATTATTGTTCGTTCTCTTTTGCGTATTCATAAATTTTCTTGATCCAGCCGTGCAGGGGACGTCGGGTTTGACGTTTTTCAAAGCGATCGAAAGGCCGAGTCCTTTCTTCCAACAATCGAGCTTAATCATGATTCGCGTAGTGAATTAATATCGTAAGATGAGTCGATATCTCGATATGCTGTTACAGCGCTTTTTTTCGTTCTCTTTGCAAAACGATCGCGTCACGCGGAATTACATTTGTATCTTTGCAAAATTACGATATCACCGTTGTTTTACAAAGGCAGTGAAAAACAACCGCTGTTATCTCGCTATATCGATAATACTTCATTTCACGATGTTTGTAAATTCAACAATTAAAAAAAAAAAAAATGTATCACGTTTGACGCTGCAAAAAATTTTCGAATCTCCTTAAGAAACGTCTCCACTAAACGGGAGATCGTATATTAATCGCGAGTACAAGCGGTGTGATACGCGTGAAGAAACGAATCACAGCCGTATGAATTATGATTCAGTGGTTTAGGTTCTGCACTTACAAAGTTCTCGTAGTAGAACGACCCGACAGACTTCATGTCCATCTGCAACAAAGACAGGATCGGTTTCAACTAATTTCGAGGAGGAGGCGCGTTGCGTCTGTATAATTGGATTTTCGAGACGGGAAACGAGAGAGGGTCGCGTCTCAAAGAAACGGAGAATGGAGACGATGGCGCGGTGAAGAAGGGTGTTGGATTGTGGTAGTGTGTAAAAGTTGTGCCGATGACGCAGCTTGCGGCGACGTTTCCCAAACGACGACGTTTCGTTGTTGGATAACTGCAAAATGTTTCGTTCGTTCTTTCTTTCTTTTGCACTTTTCCTCTGTTTCTTTTTTTCTTTTCTTTTCTTTCTACTACTGGGAGCGTGTCAGAAAGACCAGCCATTGTACTAACATCGAGAACCGTGCGCGGCTCGATTAAAGAGAGACCGTCGTTCTGCATTAATAAACGATCAAAGTACCGATCGGAAAACTGCACTGTCGCTTTCCTATTGAAACTATTGCGAGAGCGAAGGAGCAGGAATCGCGCGCTCTGATAAATGTCGATGCTAATGCGTTCGACCTGAAACCTTTTCGTTCGTTCTCGCGAGATAAACGCGAGACAAATGAGTCTTTTCCTCGAGCAAAACGAAGAGAATGAAGAGAAAGACACAAGAAAGAGAGAGAGAGAGAGAGAGAGAGAAATGGAGAGAAAAAGATAGATATAGAGCAAAAGATCGACAAGAGAATTATTAATAAAAAGCGCAAGTGGGTTCGGAGAACAAAGGGCGTCGCGATACCGATCAGATGCGAAAGATTGGCAACAACACGGATTCACGAAAGCTGATAGAGAGGCTTGATATACGTGGCGAGCGGGCTTTACTTTGGTAAAGTATCTGCGCGACAAGACACGTGCGCGCAACAAAGAGGGGAAAGAAAGCTCAACAAATCAAGATCTCTATCGAGGTGTGACACGTTCGAGTTAGAAGCTGCGTAAAAACGAGATGCAGAAGCTCAGAAGCTGATGGTAAAAGTAACCGGGGTGAAACATATTGTCGCACATAGCGGCATAGATACATACATATATGTATATATGCGTGTTAAAACACGCATTGTGTTTCACACGCCAAGTGGCTCGAAGTCGATTGACGACCCACGGATACGATTGTGCAACGAACGACTCCGCTCGATCATATACGCGCAGAAATTAAACGTAATTGCGAAATTACGTCGCTAGTATAAGCGTGTGCGCGAAAGCGAAGAAGCGTCTCATTGCGTTTTGGTTAATTGAAAATGTGCAACCGGCTATCCGACGCGAGAGGCAACGTGTGTATTTTTTTTAACTCTTCATGATTTATATACCGAATCATCTATTAGGATTTTCGAAGATTGTATATAATATATATAAATACAGAAAAAGAAGTTGTTTTTTTTTCGTCAAATTTCTTTTGATTGAGCTTTTTTTTAGCCACGTATTAAAATTATCGCGAAGAAAAAGTTAGTGCACTTTAGAAAAAAAATTATGCAACATGTATTTATAATATATATAAATTAATGATACGTTATTTCTTATGATAATTTGGACCTGGTTGCGCTCTTTGGATAAAATTTTAAAATATGTTATATAAAAATTTATAAAAATTGAACATAGACTTATTTCCAATTAAGACTCACAAATTGGATCTTTATTAGAATATAGTTCATTTAAAGCTTGTTGGAAAAAGATTTTCTTGTTCATTTGCACCGTTGTATTGAAAAAACATCGACTTGAAAAATTCACCAAAGAAAACATCCCTAATCCCCAAATCATATTCTGTGTTCAGAGAAAATCCATTCTCATTCGGTTGCTTCGATATTATCACGTTTCAAAATTTTTGTTCTGAAATATCGATACATTTCTACAAAGATTTTGCGTTCTTATGAATTTATATGAATCCTCTGCAGGCACTTTTTCCTTCTTTCTTCGCGTATTGAAAACTCCGTACCGAAAATACCGAAAAGTTATGCGCGCTTTCCGAAAGAAAACCCCTATTTGTACAACGAAAATCCATTCTCGTCCTGACGCTCGAAGTTAGAAAGTTGCACATGGATAAAATCACGTCTCAAGCCCGAACGAATCTGTCGATCGCGCTTCAGATCCTGATTGGCAGTATGAGCGACGGAGAGACAGAGAGAAAGAGCGAGATATATATGTATATATGTATATATAAAGATATATAGAGGTAAAAGAAAGGGAGCAGTATTAAAAAAAGTAGCGAGTGTATGTATAAGCGATCTACAGTGCTCTTTAGCGGACTCGACGCGAGTCTAACGAAGACAGGCCGTCTCGCGAACGGCGGATCTCGATTTTTTCTTTTTTTTTCTTTTTTTTTTTTCGAAACGCGCGACGTCGCGGCAACGAGGTTCTCCGCTCGACAAGATACTGATGCCGAAACTTCGGTCATCGTTCAGAGCGTCGAGGGGATGACGTTACATTCCACCATCACCTCGGTAGTCGCTTAAGCACAACATGCATCATCGGCGCAAGCTCAGAATTTACACAGAATTTCTAACGCTCCGTAGACCAGCAGCACCAACAGTATGCCGGATTCACAGTGGCGTACCGAAAAAGTGCGAGGGTCTCACGAGTCCTCGCCCTTCTTCACTCTCTCTTTTCCGTTTCATTTTGTTTCGCGAGGAGGTCCTGACATACGGAGATTAGAGAGTCGATGGTTTTCTCACCGAGCTCGCATCGAAACACGCGCGCACTTTCGCATCGATTTTTGCGTGCCTTCAGAATCACTGATTCCGTTTCATTAAATTCTTTAACGTGAGAAATGTGTTCAGCTTTCTTTTAATCGTTTTAAAATTGTTTGACATATTTGGTAAAATTTTTTTCACGAGAAAAATTCAACATCATATTATTTGTTACACCTGCAATTGTCAACGTAAATGGCGATCAAGTTTCAAATAAACTTTCTTGAATATAAATTTTAAAAAAATTGTGAAGAATGAAAATTTGAAAATTTTATTGAAACAGATGATTCGTTATTTAAAGTATATAAATATACTTTAGACACTATTCACGCGCTCACTTGTGTAGAAACAAAGAGATATCGCATTTCATGGCCATGTAATCTTTGTGTCAAACAGTAAAAAGTTGAAAATAGGCATACTTTTTTAAGCGTTTTATCCGCATTCGAGTTCTTCTTGCAAATGCTTAGCTAGTGCGTGCGTGTTTCGAGACGTAAGCGCGACCGACGAGCGGATGACGATCTTGACGAAGGTGAATTACCTTCGTCCGATCGTGTATCCATTGATTTCGTCGGCCGAGAAATCGCCAAGGGATAAATATATGTTAAATCATACATACGATATTCGTTAGCCACGCGCTTCATATACACATACCTCCAACATGGACACGACTTTGATGCACGTGGCGTATCGTTTCGTAAAGATCTCTTCCACGGGCGGCAATGTAAACGCGTGGCTAACGATCGAAGAAAAAAAAAAGTAGTAAGCGATCTATAAATACATTACGAGGCGTAAGCTCTGATACGAACAACATTGCAACGAACGACAGTGGGAAGCGAAACCAAGAGAGAGAGAGAGAAAAAAAAGATAGAGTCTCTAGAATTTTTCTTATACGGTCGTCTTTCAGTAAAAGCCGATACGTATCGTGTATACGACCCGAGAACGATGCAATAAACGTTGCGATAAGAGCATCACAAACCGGATATTCTAATACATTTCGAGAGTTGCAACCCTTTCAGTACCAATTCCAAGTTCTAAAAAAATCATTCGAATTGTAAAAGAGAATCCAATCGTGAAAAGCCGTACGTGTTTAAAATCATAGGAGTCTTTTCCTGCGAATTTTCTTTTCAACATCGTTAGCATCGTGAGAGTTTCGATTATAATGTCGTACGTGACGTCATTGGTATCGTAAAGGTTTACAGCGATGTATCCCACATGGTAGTATTGGCATTAGGGAGATTTCAATAATGACACCATACGTGGCATTGTCGGGGTCATAGAGATTTCAGTTCAGTTATGATACTGTATATGTGACATTGCCGGTATATGCTTCAATCGTGATATGACGTCGCGATGGTACTGAAAGGATTAACAAATGTATTCCCATATCGTTAAGAATTACACGCGATCGTTTTGCATATTTCACCGTCTTTTTTTTTTTTGGCTAATAGACAGCGGGACTCTTGTTAGAAATAAAAATGAAAGATAGAAGGCTAGAGCTCTAAGCGCGCTCGGCAGTGTATTCACAATCGCAATAACTATGTACTCATAACTTAAGAATACAATTATACGTGGAATCTCCAGAAAGTGGCCTGAATCGTTTCGTCAAACTTTACAGCGCGCCGCAAAATCGCGCGATGTTATTCATAAGAGATCAGCAAAGGGAGAGAGTAGAGAGTCGATTATACATTTATCGCGGGAGACGTACACACACACGCTCCATTTGGAAAGTTTCTCCGATCGAGCAAGTGGAGGCAAACATCAGCTCGGAAATCTGTGAGATTAGCATCAGATTATATATGACTGTCAGCAACTAGTTTCTTGCACTTTGCTTAATGACGCTGAAAATTCGCCAACACCTCAACGATTAAATCGACTCGATAAAGAGATGAATTTAGCTAATATCTGATACCGTGATATCTGTATCGCGCCCATGCATATACAAAGTATTGTTAATACAATTTTTTCTCGTATGTGTATCGATTAACCCCCGTTTGTCAGAGTAATACATTTTTTGTAGCGTAAAAAAATTTTGAAAACAAAAAAAAATACATGTCCGTTTCGCGAAAGGTTCAATCTTCGACTCGCCCGCGATACCGAGGCCACTTTACCGGAGTCCAGCTACAAAAAAAAAAAAAAAAAAAAAAAAATGGAAAGGGTATTCCATGCATAAGCCGTGGTACCATTAGCAGATCATCATTGGTGTCGCGCATCCGCTTCTTGCCGAGCTCGATGCTCGCCATACTGGCGCTCTGCAGTCCTCCGGGCATCGCAGTTGCCGGCACTCCTGACATTCCGCCAGCCAACGCACCCATTCCCGCCACACTCGTCGGCATCGTCGCCGTCTGCATTTTTTTTTGTATTTTCCGTTTTTTTTTGTTTTTTTGTTATTTTCACACACGTTCATTCGGTTTTTCCGATTCCACGGTTTTTTTTTCCGTGACATTTTTATGCGTACAGATTTCGTTTTTACAGTCATACATAGAGTTTTCCGTGCATCGCCGTGCGTCGACCACATCCGTTTCCGTTCCGGTCGTTCCCGAGACGTCCCCAGTCGAGACATTTTCATTTTTTTTTTTTTTTTTGGTTCGTGTGTTAGCACATTCATACATATTTTGTTGTATCGTTGCGGTATGGTAGTGATGGTGGCATATATATATATTTTTTTCGTATTTTGGCATATGCATGCGGTGGTATCGGTCGATCGTGCGTGTGATATTTATGTTGATTTTATTATTTACGTTGATATATAAGTGTTTTTTTCCGAGTTTCGGTCGGCAATATTTCGCAGGCGTTAATTGGCAGGTAGCGAAGCGCACGAAGGTATTGTCAGCAAGCATGTAGAAGCATCGTCAGGCGCGGAAGAGGGCAAGATAAAAATCAAAAAAAGAAAAACAGACCAGTTGAGGCTAAGACAAGAAACGACAGTCGCGATATATATAATATATATTTTTTGTTTTATGTAAAAATAAAAAAAGAACACACATACTCTTGTAGGTGCTCGTGTATACGTGTGCGTAGATACACTCACGTTCGCGCGAATTATCCGTATCGCATTTACATCAGACCGTACCGTGTCGTGTGCACACACACACACACATATACACGCGCACATATATACGCGTGGAAAATTTACGACTTACGATATTTTTGCGCGATCGCGCGTAAGACGATACGCATGCCAATTGCGTGCGTAATACCCACACCGAGGGTTTAAAATGTACCGCTCGAGTTACTCGCACGTGAATCCCGAGTGACGTAACTGCCTATTTCATTTATCACGTCATTCGATCGTTCTATCCTAGTTACATATATACTTTGGAACTTTTACTCGTCTCTCTTTTACGCGCTGTGTTTAATGCAAAGCTAAGCAAATTACGCAGAAATTTAGCAGATAGACTCAAGAGATAGAAATAGATCTGCGATATAGATTTGTATAACACGTTCTTCAAACACACGCGGGAATTCTTGCGAGTAGAACAAGAACGATTCTGGTCAGACGCGCGATCGCACAATCTTTTTCGTCCGATAAACGCGGGCTGTGAGTAACGGTTATGAGCCGAGTCGGTCGTTTTATATAGTTCGAAAAAGTACAGAAAGATATTCTCTCTGTAATATTCGTGTAACATCGCTTTTTCATATTCGCGCTTTACGTGTTTCTCGCTTCGCACTCAGAACTCAATGGACTTCGAATTACCCAGCAAATGAACAACCGGCACACGCGTACTGTAAGCAAATAACGCGATTTGTCGCGCTTTCACTTACTTCCGATACCGCGTTTATCGGCATTCAACCACACAAATATATAAAGACATCACCGATTAATAGTAATGGCAATAATAATAATTATAATAACGATGATGATGATAATAATAATTATAATTATAACAATAATCAATAATAATAATCATAGCACGTTAGGTAGGACCAACGGACGTAGCTGGCGTCAGCGTCAATCTGCGAGCTAATTGGCACTAATTCGTTAATTTTTATCGACATTAAGGCGAGAGAAGGAGAAGAGAGAGAGATAGAGATAGAGAAGTAACGCATCTACGTGGCAAAGTACGCTATCCATAGTGATTAAAAAAAAAAAAAAAAAAAAAAAAAAGAAAAGCGGAAATCTCTTAACAAATATTGGAAAATCAGAATTGGACGTGGAAAAGGGGCGCGTAGATAGAGAGGGACGCGAAGTACAAAAGAAAACCGGTCCCACTTCATCGGGTCCATCGACATCGGGCTCTCGGCTGGCGTTTCTGACTGCGGCAACATCTGCAATAATCGAGGTATTCTCTCGAAGTTCATTAGTTTTGCGTTTGTCCTTCACAATCTAATATTTGCCGTGTGGACATAGTCATGTGTACAAGTTATATATATAAATACACACACATATATATGTAATTTGACTCTTTGGCTTCCCGCTCCACTTTTCTCTCTCGCTTTGCGTCAGCGTCTGGCCACCGCTCTTTAAAATCTGTAGAGCAGATTATATACGCTGGTATAGGGATCCAGTCCCATCCGTTCCCACGCGGAGGCATCTCTAAAATACTAAAACAAAACCTATCCCTCCTGCCTCTCCTTCTCCCCCCCCCCCTCCCACACACACCTCGTTACGTCCAATGCTTCAGTCTAAAACAGATCCTGTCGCAGAGGATGCCGAGGGAAAAAAAGGGGTCCATAGTGGACAACCTGATCAAATACGTCCAATATACATCCGTTATGACAACTTCCGCTACCGCACACAATGATCAGTTAGTTCTGCATACGCGAGCTCCACATATACTTTCGTAAGAAAAATTATAGAGATAGAGGACAGAGAGAGATAGAGAGAGAGAGAAAGAGAAAGAGAGTGAGTGATAGAAAGTTATATATATAGTGAGGAAATTGTAGAAGAGAGTTACAGAGAAATGCGTGCAAGAGACCGTAAGTGAAGCAAAAAAAAAGAGGGCCGTCTCTCTTAGAACCCGTACTTCTCGTCTTTCTATCTTTACAATACCTGAAAAATTTACGAAAAAGACATTGATTTAGTTTGTAAGTTAATTTACATCATTTCTCGTGAATATCCAAGTGTATGATGTTCTCTTGTTCAAATCTCGAACTCGCTGTTGTCGTCGGCATCTTCTTTGAGGAAATGGGATAACGATTTCGTGATTGTGTTTGTAATATATGTTTGTATACGTGGAGCGTGTAAGTATGTGTGTCGGTATGTGCATGCGCGTATATGTATATATATATATATATATATATTTACATGTTCGACGATGATTTTGTTCTATACAAATCGAGGATGCACGAGCCTGTGAATGGCTCGCGCGTGTCATATGCGGTTTCACAGTGATAGATCTGCACTTTTACGTGCTCGGGATATAAACTTTGTGTCGTACACTTGACAAACATTCAGGTATGGCATACCAATTCCGAAGAGTGCATTACGTCGCGACGATAAATTTCGACATGACCCTCGTTGGCGAGATGTCGTTGATATGTATACAATGTACATCGAGCATGTAATGATAAGACATATTACAGAGCTTATCATAATATCGAAATGGTCAAAATCGAAAGAACTTTGAAGCTATTTAAAGAAGAAACAAACATGTAATATTCAAATCAATCAAGACAGCGGAAAATTTATTTATTGTACGAACGCATTTGTTGCCAAAATGCAGTTTATTATTGAAATATTATTGTGTTGCTAAAGTCTTGCTATTCTTTTTAAATACAAACTTGTTAATTTTTTATACATTTTGAAGTGAATGTCTTGTGTAAAAATTTTATTGAAGGGTATTTGAAAGTTAAGAATAAACACGGTTTAAGTTTTCTCGCGGCATCAAACCATCGACGGGTCATCCGAAACAGGGAACGAGAAGAAAAAAAATGAAGAGAATTGGCAAAACAAAGAATTCACCCGTATTCCGTGAGCGCGTTTCGTTCTCTAAGAGATGCCGATGTCGGTCCGTAACCCCCGAGGCAAATTCGGACGAAAAGGCGATTCCGTCGGTATACGCGGTGTATGCACCCTTGGGAAATTGAAAACCACTTTTAGAGAATGAGACTTCCCTGCCAACAAGCTGGTCTGCCGCAATCATCCATGTGAGACTTTTCCTCCATTGTGTCCGGGTGTGGCTGCAGGTCTTCCGCGCGACGTCGCTGAAAGTCTTTCTCGCTCTTTCTCTCTCTTTTACTTTTGCTTTTTCTTTTCTCTATAGCTTTTACTCTTTATTCCCCTGGATAACAAATACGCTCGTGTCCCGGAGACAAGGTTCACGTATCGAAACACGGCGATCGAGTCCGCATCGGAAAACGGGGTGCGTCCACCCCCGCGCTGTTTACGAATAACGCTACGATTTCGAAACGGCCGCCGTCCAGTCGTATTTTATGTCAAACACGTTTGTAAAGATAATCTCGATTATTCGACCGAAACGAGCTCATTAGTCAAACTGTTGACCCCCGAGCGCCAATTTTTATGACCATGATTAATCATTCCTCGTGTTTAATTAAAAAAAAAAATAATAATAAATAGCAAAGAGAGAACAATCGCGTTCGCGATCAACCCGCTAGGTATCTTCTTCAGAGCAATCAGTGGAATCAGGCCAAGAGAGCGGTCGGAGGACAACGGCGGAACGGTTTCTAATTTAAGAACCGTCCTGCTTAATAAACGATTCGCGAGCGAGCGAGTGTGCCGCTAACATTGTCAACAAACGCGCATCAAGTACGAAAGACTAAGAGACAGATTTGACAACGGAAGTTGGACAACGACATTTCATCGCCTGGCCCACACACCTCCCAACAAACCCGTCGTATCTATTCGTTTCTTCTACTGTTTCTTTTTCTTATATTTTTTTTTTCGCTGTCTTCTATGTATCTTTCGGGGACTCTTAGTGTAGCGTTTTTGTGTGGGGCAGCAAAACAGCAGCGGGGTTGATAGCCGGGTTTCGTGCAGCACAGCTTGTCAGCAGGGTGGTGTACGTGTCATTCGTAAAAGATTTCTTTTCTCAACTACGTCTTATTTACAAGAATGTGACCGTTCCATTTCCCTTGTATTTCAACTCGATTGAAAATAACGCGGTTTGGCAAGCTATTTATAAATTATATAATTTAACATAATTCATATAAAAAGATCTTCTACAAATTATGTATAATAAAATACAATTACTGCATGTGTGATTATTAAATTATATATAATTTAAAATGCGATTAATTTTAGAATTAATTATGCTTTATTCGGCAGGCAAAATATCTGTCTAATAGAGTAATGCGAACAGAGTAATACGATATAAATTCTTAGTGTTACTCTTGAAAATTTGGACGGGAAATGGATCGTGCACATGGCTGCGAAAGTATTTGTATTCATTATGACCTAAGAGGTACCGAACAGGTGATTGGTGTATTGCAACTAGTTCTTTGCACCTGGGTAGCTGCGATAGGCTGCTAGAAAGAGAGAAATAGAACAGTGGTGTTTTGGTGATGTTAACAAGAATTTTGCCTCGTGTACTACTCACTACACACTACAGAAACGGCTGAACATCATACAGGAGATTTAAAATATGGACGAACACAAAAGCGACAAACATGGGACGAGAACTATACAACATATCGTCGGGAGAAAATTAAATTGTAAAATCGAAAATAGTGATTGCACTGTAAAAAGATCGGGAGACAGAGTTCAAGAATAGGAAAGAAAAGGGTAAAGTTAAAATAAATGTCTCTATGGTAGTTATACGGGAGACGATGCTTTTTGCATTCCGTTTTCTTACATTCCTATGAAAAAATTAGCTGAAATGTAAATTAAAGGAATAAATACTGTGAAGAAGGCATGTATCATTATTCTTATCGATTATAGTATCGAAAAATATTGTTTCACGTGACATCATATATTAACTTAACGCTGTGATAATTTTTAGTTTGGAGTAAATTAAAACAGGTAATAAATATGTCATTATGATATGATGATTCATCGTACTCCTAGCATAACTATCATGCACTTCGAGCACTGCGCAACAATTGGCCAATGTTATTGTTTCATCGTTCATCTCTGTCTGTCACGCGCGATAACAATCGTATGTATAAATATTCGTGACATAGATCGCGCATGTATTTCGGCGTAATATGGAACTCGATACGTGTCCAGCTGCGTGTGAAGCACGTAAAGGGACTAACGCGATTAAGAGAGAGGCTTGACAACGTATACACTCGCCCGTAGATTGGCGAAAAGCAGCGCAGCAAAGAAAAGCTCCTTTCGACATAAACCCAAGAAACTGAACAAGAGGAATGATAGAAATAGATTGTGATAGATAAACAAGAATAAAGAAAATATGGATTCATGAGGAGCGAAGTGAGGAGAGAAAATGAGATCCGGAATTAAGATGTGGGAGAAAGTAGGGATCATGTGTGGTCGAGGGAAACATGCGTGCACTTCGAGTCCTTTTGTTCTCCGCGGGTGAGACATCCTCGGCCTGTACAAAAGACCTTTACGAGATTTATCGTGCGTCGATATTCTCCAATTCTTCGATTTCAGAATTTTTTAAATTTTCGTACGCTCAGGCGGGTTTTTTGATAGAGAAAAGTACAGTGGGACGACGATATGATCGTAATGATAATCTCGCGGGCAATGTACGAGAAATAGAAAGAGAGAAAGCGAGAGATCAACGATCTTAGAATACAAGATGGAGCCAAGCAATTGATTCAGAGGAATTATGTTCGAATAAAAAAGAAAAAAGAAAAAAAAAGTGAAGCAATTTTGTTCCAAGCTTATGTGTTAGGCGAAAGCGTGATGTATTCTTCTCTTTCTTTGTTTTTCACATTTATATTACTCCAAGACAAGTCTATATATATATATGTATATAACATACTTTCAATATGTGTATATATTCTAAAGTGAAAAATCTTTGTGACTCACACAAAGTTGCTTAGTTAATTGCAGATAACGTAATAGAAATGTGCACTACAAAATATATCTAATGGATCCATTAAAATTAATTAAATCCATCTTTGATAATAAAAAAAAATATCTTTTTGAACATGATGCTTGATGGACATATAATTAATATTTGTCCTTTTAAAGAAGAAAAAAAAATGATAATTCACATTACATCACTTTCTGTCACAAAATATCCACACTTTTACAGCAGAGATTTAATAAATAATTCTTTTTAATGTGGTAAATGCATTGCAACAACAGTGAAACTTGATATCGCGAAACACATCCCCGTCATTTCCTCTTCACGACAAGCGACATCAACACCACTGTACTTTATTATCACAGCCCAACAGTAAAAAGGATAGAGCATCGGGCACTATTTTACCCTTTCTGACATCGACCAATTTTCAGCGGAGAGATAATTAAAAAAAAAAAAAAAATGAAAAAAAGACGACACATTTGCATGAAGCACACGCCACATGGAACGATCTGCGAGGTCGAGGCTGGAAAAAGGCAGAAAGGCAGAAAAAGAAGAAAGTAGAAAGGAAAAGAGATTATTAGTATCGTCGTTTGACCCATTAACATTAAGAATTTTTATTCATTCGCCGTTGAATAAAACGGTTGCATTCTGTGTAATAAAGTAGAATAGATAGAGAACAATTTTTTTATACTATTATACATATCTTCATTTTTTCCCACATGATATACTAACATAATGTATACATCCAGACAACATTATCTCGCTGACATTTTCGTAAAATAAATTCTATAAAAAAAAAAAATGTAAATTCTGCTTTCATCATGTCATTTATATTCATCTGAGATTTTATTTAATGGGACAATCGTTGACACAAAATATGATAAAAAGCGTCGGTGTTTTCACGACAAAAACCGTGTAATGTTACAAAATATTTTCCTGAATTACGTCAAATTGACATTTTCTTTCGTATGTCATGTTTAAGGTTACATTCCATTTCATTAATATAAAATAGAGTTTTGTCGCAACTCACCGACAATCAGAATGGATAAATAAAGATAGAACAGACAGTTTGGATGCATGATGAAGAAAAAACAAGGTGGTAACCCTCTGTGTTACTTGAGAACTCAGAGAAGATTTTATAGGAAAATAATGGACTTTGTTTCGTGAAGAAGGAAATAGTCGATGAGGTATTCAAACTAGTCATCGAATCAAATTAAGGAAAGTATCTGGGAGAAACGAGATAAAACAAAAGCGCAAACAAAAAAACAGGAGGAATGAACTAGAATCGAGAGCAATGAAAAAAAAAGAACATAATTGTGAGAGTTAATGTTACAGAGAAGAAGGAAGAAAATGTGAGAAATGGAAGTAATAAAGAAATAGAGAAAGAGAGACAGAGAGAGAAAGAGAGAGAGAGAGAGAATGCATTACCGCAATGCTAGCCCGAGATTGTGCGGCCTTAATGTGGGCTTGAAGGTGCAGAGGGGGGTGGAAATAGCGGCAGGGGTCCCGATTGCATCGGCCCTTGACAGCGTCCATGCAGACCGTCACAGAGCCGTCCTCGTTCGCCTGCACCGTCTCGAGGGGGTGCGCAAACCGGCACTCCGTCTCGCCGCGTTTGCACGCCCCGCGTTGAAACTCGCGACATACCTACAGCAAGAGCGAACACGCATGGCATGGCACTCTATCTATGTGGGCGAAAGGGGGTCTTAGGGGGGCTAGAGGCTAAAGGGGGCTGGCTGGCTTGGCTGGCTTGGCAGGGCCGGGGGGCGCAAATGTTAGAGAGGGAAGGTCGATCGGAGGTCGCCAAGGGTGGCAGGGATAATGGGTGAGGCGATTGTTCAAACGGTCGCTGGCTCTCCTTCGATTACGATCGCACATTTACACTGCTTGATAGTTGCTGGGAGCTAAAGATGGATAAGACAGATGGATATATACACAGAGAAAAAAAGTAAGAATGAGTGATCGGATTTCTTAGTAATAAAAAACCGATGACATCATGACGTTTTGGCATTTAATGCAAATCTGTCGTTGATTCGCATTGATCTCTGTCGGATTACGTTAGGTTAAATTTTTCGTATGACATTTGGAAAAAGTTTACATCTTATAAAATATTTCAAAAATATTAAAAGATAGGCTTTTGTTTAGATTTCTCAAAATGTAAATAAATATGTAGAAAAAGTCTACGTCGAATATTACTTTATTTAGTAAAATTATGTACGCGATAATTGGTGTATTCTGCTATTTAAATTAGAATAATTCAAAAGCGACAAAACATAGAATATAGATTTGCTGTCAGTACTGCAAAAACATTTTCTTATTAATTATTTTCTTATAATACGTACGATGTAACTGATAAAAAAACTTCAAAGAGAGTCGAATGAGAGAAAGAAATTCCGGATTTATTTGAATAGGATAGATGGTAGATTAACTGATATTATATAAAAAGGAAGTAGAGATTTTTGTGAATAGCAGATACAGAACATTGGTGCGCGTTACGGAATAGGATCTTTCTACTTTGGCATGGACGAGCATTGGCCATGAATACACGTTGCAGAACATGTAAAGTACGCGAGAAGTCAATTAATAGGACTGGCTAGTAAAGCAAACAGCTTCAAAGCCAACGCCAGTACACCGTAATTTTACGGCGTCTTTAAAAGCCGCGGTTTTCTCGCAAAAAAAAAAGATGCCTTTTTCTTGTCGCAGATTTTTAATTTTACTGTCGCGACGCGTTAATTTACTAAATAAGAATCTTTACATCGTCGCGTATTCTTATATTCGTCGCATATATGAGTTACTATTAATTTCATTCAACAGTTTACTTTAAAAACAATTTAAATAGATCAAATTTTTTTTTGCTGACAACTGGACAAATTATATGTATACCTTGCACGTAAAAAAACAAAATGCTTAAATTGAATAGATTACAAAAATTGATTTTTTACAGCTTATAAATATATATAAAGTGAGCAGGAAATTTATCAAGATAAAAATATTGGAATCTTAATAACGTGTATTCACGGTTGACACCTGGCCGCATATAGACTACTATAGGCTAGGCTTTTAATGTATTTGGCAGCCACAGAGCTCGTGCCGAACCTGGCGAAATGTACAGGCGGAACTGTCATATTTTTTATACAAGACGGATGTTTACAGAGAGGCAAAAAAAAACACGCGAAGACAGGAGAAAAATTGAACAAAAGATAGGACGGATAAAATGTAGAAGGGAAGAAAAAAAGAAAGAGAGAGAAGAGAAAGATAATAGAAAGAAATGAGAGAGAAAGTATAGAATAACGTGTAGCTAGCAATTGGACCGAGTGATGCGAAAGAGCGTTCCGTTTGTGGACTTCGGGTCTGTTTCGGGGGAGGCGTTAAAAAGAGCCAACTTGACACACATTCTTTTTTCTTTGTCGGTATAGTTTTTCCTTTCTTTTTTTCTGGCCGTTGGTACGCTGACTCCAGATGACAGGTCTTGACATTCAGCTTCGAGATTTGACATTCGTGCGGACAATCGGTTCTCTATCGCGTCTCTATCGATTTTCTCTATGCACTCTTTTCCGTTCTAATGAAAAGAGTATCTCTAACGAAAGCGATTTATGCTTAAGAAAGTGATAAAACAATCTACTTACCGACCATTACACACATACACACACGAAATGTATCTGTAGAACTCGTAAGGATTATCGTTACTACGAGAACGCGAGTATTTTTCGCCGGGAATGGACGGAGAGTCCGTGAGACCAGCCGACTCGTGTTACCGGACTAATTTTAGCGTCAGCAAGAGAGAGACTTGTGCTTACCAACGCCCAGAAAAGGGAGAAATTAGATCGCTCTACTCTACTCTAATGGAGCTGAAATACCGTGTTCAAATCTGTCAAAGAGAGGCGTAGCACGCGCCGTTACTCGGTGCACCCTCGCCCCGCCCAATAAGGTCGAAGGACACACGGGGTATGGATGGCGATGGGGGGAGGATACAGGGTAATACGATAAATGCCTCCACGAGCATTCTTCGGTGTATTATCAATCGGGTTAATATGCGTACGTGTTAAAGGAAAACTCGGCAACATGCATCACTTACTACATTCCTTGTGTATATTCTCGCTGCGTCTCGAGAAAAGTAGAAAATCGAGTAAGACATCGAATCTGCTGATATTCTCCTTGAGATAATTATAAGAGAAGACTATTTTGAAAAAAAAAAAACATTATTGCTACAGATAAAAATTTTGTTGCAAAAAAGTAAGATTGATAAAAAGATTCGCGCTAATTTTCAGATTATATTATAGCGTTGAAACTTTTACTTTTCTCAAGGTACGAAATTTGAGAGCGTATTCTAGAGTACCATGCATATTATATATAGTTTTGAAATCTACGCGCTGAAGCGCTATTCATCTCGTTAAGAGAAGACTATTTTGAAAAAAAAAAACATTATTGCTACAGATAAAAATTTTGTTGCAAAAAAGTAAGATTGATAAAAAGATTCGCGCTAATTTTCAGATTATATTATAGCGTTGAAACTTTTACTTTTCTCAAGGTACGAAATTTGAGAGCGTATTCTAGAGTACCATGCATATTATATATAGTTTTGAAATCTACGCGCTGAAGCGCTATTCATCTCGTCTAGCATAAGCGCTATCTGTCAGTTTCTTTTTTTTTTTTTTGGTTTGATTAAATAATTTCTTTTTCATCGAATAAATCTATGTAGACATTACGCGGGTACCTGCGTTCAATGCAACAGGATAATAAAGGTAATAGTGCGCATTACGCGCGAGCGTCACTTCCGCGCGCAAAGTGACGCTTGCTCGTGTTTGCTTCACTTTCTCCGCGCGCCTTGTTCGAGTGTGTTAATTCGAGTGCACGCACTCGGTCGCTCGAGTGTGAACCACGGGTTAAAGTGGGCGCTTTCGGCAAGCTGGAAAGCTCGTTAGGAAATGCACACGTATACAGACATTAAACGGGAGAGTTAACGAGAGAGAAAGAGAGACACGCACGCGCGCACACGCACATATACACACACGCGCGTACATTCTGCATACATATTTGCAGTCGACACACAACTGCGTGCAAAGACAAAAGACACAATAGCGTATACGTAGACAGCTACAGAGAATGAGAATGTATGTATGTGTGTACATGTGTATGTCATATCGCGAATTGTTGCGAGACAGATAGCGTATAGTTGACACCGCGGCTAAAAGAGTGAGAAACAGGTGCGACGAATAGTCCTAATTAACGACGGACGGTCGGCAAGTGGCGCGCGCGCTGCGAGAGTCAATTTTAAGTAACGCTCGTAAATTTTCACCCGAGGAAAATTACGTCAGGGAAAATGCGACACTCCGTAAGATTGCGGCAGAAACGAGAACGAAACGTTTAAAATAAATGAAATTTTGGATTTGGACCTCTACGAAGGGTCCAGAGAAATAATTTTTGTTTAATTTACACTTTGGCATAGGACAAGATTACAGACGTCTCCTTTATATCATAGGAAGACATTCCGGGATTTCATTAATTATTTTATTATTTGATGTATGTAAAAGTAATTAACGATTTTCACTTTCAACATTGGTGAAATCTCCATCGCCACCTTGACTTGTAAATTACAACGTTTTAAAACCAATTTTCAACTTGCTGCAGTATTACTCTTCCTGATATAAAATCATGTAATTAATTTTCGATAGTGACTCGGGATTACGTTAAAATATCTATCAAACGAACCATCGCGCATAAATTAGTAATAGAAATTAATTACTATAGAAATCATTTTCCTTATATACACGTATGCGGTAAGCACATAATAATTGACAGCAGTGCACATATCCGAGTGCATGTTCAGTGCGCGAGTTAATATTTTTTATAAAATTCTCGCGCGTCATAAATCCTATTTTTATTAATAAATCCGATATATTTCATCCATATTGGACATTTTCTATCTTAGAAACTGTTTAAAACGAGTGAGAGAAGCAACGCGTAGCAAGCAGCATTGAAACGAGCAACGATGTCAGCTGATCCGTCGCGTGCACCGTTCCTCGCGAGAATTTCGATATAAATTACCGCTTTGTTAGCAAGCATAAAAGATGTGAAATGAAGTCTACTATACTTATCGCAGAAGCGCACGCACACAACGTTACACAGCAGCTGCGAAAAAAAATGTTACGAAAAAAGAGAACTTAAAATCATGGAGAACTGTGGGCACATGTACTTTGTGTCTCGTAAGATGTGTATGCTTGTTTGACGTGTACGTGTGTATATATATGAGAGAGAAGTGTCTGTTGTGTATATATATATATATATAAATATGTAAGGAT